GCCCGCAGTGAATCACAGAAGTTGGATGCAACACAATTCCCTTGCGTGTGTATGTGTGCTGTGCTGTGTATTGATGATTGCATGTTGCATCGACCGCACTAACCGGCTGACCAATGAAAAGACGTCAGCGCCAGCGGGAAAAATCAACGGCCCTGAAGGGAGACAAAATTCGAAAAAAGCGCAACAAGCTGAATGCAAATGCCAAAATGAATCTACAGAACATTTCAGAGAGACACATTGGTCCTCCCTTCTTCCCCTCGCTGCCTCGGCAAGGTTTTGCTTAGGCATGACCCAAAGCGAGGGGGGGGGTCTTTCTAGCGAGCAGGGCTAGACTCACCCTCAAGGGACCGATACCTTCTTGTTACGGCGCACCCGCCGCGAGGCGTGCGTAGTGGTGGAGTTGGGTCGGCACTGGTGCGTCAGGTACAAAGGTGCAGATGCGCGGGCCTCGAGGCCGTCGGTGTAGGCAGCAATGCCCATCTCATCTTTGTGCGCGGAGGCAGACGTCAATCAGAAAGGTGGACGGGCACTATGTACACGGCCCTAGGTTTGCTAGAGGGAGCTGTACTGTCTCAGTAACCTGGTTTTGCCATCAAATGAGGAGGAGACAGGTGGTGACGAGCTGACTGGGCTGGTTGACCCTTCGGCGCGAGAATTTTTCAGACCAAGAACTCTAAGTGCAACGAGGGAGAAAGCGAGGAACCGACTGGGAAGGACAGCAACGAGAGCGTGTACGAAGCGGACCGGGTCGAGTTTGGTCGTGCTAGGACTGGCCACAGCGACACCGAAGAAGCGGCACCGCAACAGCGGCACCGGAGCAGCAGCGGAACCGGAGCATGCGGACGGCATCGAACCGTGGCGCACGGACAAACATCTCTTCTTGTGTTGTAAAATATTTTCCGTTTTTTCCTGAATATCTAGGTGTTAGGTATGTGTGATGACGTCACTGGTTTTGTAGAGAGACGCGGCAGAGATGGCGCGGATAACCCGGGTGCCATAATTGTGTACCTGCATCGTGGAAGACCCCTTCAATGTGGAACGATTCCTAGTCAGTGTCGATGTTTACACGGCTGTGTCTAGCACAGATGATCTGGATAGATTCGGGCGATTGTCAATTGCAATGATGGCTTTGGTTGATTGTTCTTCATTGTATGTCCACGGACCCATTCTGACAGCACTTCAGACAGCAGCTGCATGCCACGAGCTTGTTGTGTACCATACACCATGGTGTTATTTTTGTACAGACAGCACTTCAGACAGCAGTACGCTGTAGTCGACAAACCTTCATTTTGGTGAAGTGCGGGGCAAGGGGGGTGATGCCGCTGTTGTAGTCGAATTGTAGTGTGTGGGCGTGTAGTTCAGTTGTGAGCACGCAAACGTGCTGCAGGGATTGTAGGTGTACCTCCTCGGGCTTGTGTACCCTTTTCTTGCTAATAGTGTGCGTGTTCTTTAGATCTTCTGATGGCTCTAGCATTTTTGTGACCACGGGCCGAGTCTTTGCTAGATTTTGGGATTAGCAACTGACACCAGTTTAATGTGAAGAAAACAACAACAACAAAAACACCACAGCCAGCTCCCTCCATACGTGCCCTCGCCTGATTATATGAAGCAACTGATGGAAAGAGTCGAGGACCGCGAAAGGGATATTTCAAGCCCAGCCAAAGCCAGGATATATTTTTGCGTGTTGCATCTCCCAACTTGATAATCGGGCACTCCCAAAGACCCAGAGGTCATTTTTGTAGGCGTGCGTATGTGTGCCCCACCTATTCTGGCGCAAGTCTACACACCTTTCGGTGTACAGATAGCGCCCGCATTTAAGAACCTCTAGTAATAGCCGAGGCTCTTAGTTCCTTTGGTGGGTTACAATTGGCCGCTATACAGGCTTTTATGTAGGAGTTCTTAACCGAGGTGGCAGATTGTGCTCAAGTCCATAGTTTTGATATAATGTTGAGCATGGAGTTCTTAAGTGCGGGCGCTACAATGGAAAATGCTTATCAGCCGGGATTAAACAGCAGGAAGTTCACACAGAGCTTTCACTTTTCATACATGTTGTTTGTGCCCACCTTTCCTCCTAAGATGGTTGACTCAGTTTGTATCGCGAGAAGGGTTTTAGTCGTCCCTTGCTCTCGTCGACTGTGAAGTCGAAGCGTGCACAGTACTCACGAATTAATCGTTTCCACCACAAACTTCAAAGTTTTTTAGTTAGCCCCTGAGAAAAGTCTAAGCTGTTTGTGCACTTTGAGGGAAGAGAGTGCTGCACTATTCTCGAGTAATATATCGAAGGCAAGCACCGCGGGAGGGGGTAATAGGGGGCCTCAGCAAAAGGAACCCTTCTGTGTGACTGACCACGGATTGGAGCGCTCCTACATGGCATAAATGCTGTGAGCACTGATTTCAAGTGTTGGAATATAACAACTCACGAAATCATAGCCGTTCGGCACTTGCCACAACAATGAAAGTCCACAGGGTGAACGAAACTCCAACCTGCCACAAACTGCTGTAGATCTGCGAGGTTAGCCAAAGGAAACGACCTGCGGGCGACCTTATAGGTAAACATCGAACTTTGGCAATTTCGCGGAAGAAGACCAGAGATTGTTTGTGGTTGCCCAAGGGGGAGATCGTGGAGCGAGAAAAACACTTGTAAAGGGAAGGCCATCTGTAAAAAATAAATTACAGGCTTTGGCTGAGCACCTGTTCGGACTTGTTTTATCGCATATGTTTATCACCTAAATAGAGGCCCTGAAAAACTTAAGTTGCGGGGGGGTACCGGGGGGGTACCGGGGGCCAACGACGGTGATTGGTCAACAGGGGAAAACAAGATGAAGCTTTCTCTGCCCGGACAAGTGGGACTTCGATTTTGGGTGCAGCAAAGAACAATTACAAATTGAAATGATTTTTGCTGAATCGAAGTACCCGAGTTGGACTGCGGCCCTTTTGCACCCCCCATGATGAGCTGACCTCGTGATGGCCTTACCCCTGACGGGACCGCATGTGGCACACTGGCCGAACGGCACCCACACGCATCGCCCACTGCCCGCTGATGGGAAATAACTGTATTGCAATGATTCTGTAAGCGTGCCAAACTTTCGCGTTGGGTAGGTTACTGGAGGTCGCTTCCCAAAACGTACGATTTCGAAAGCCAACGGCTGGTAATGTGCAGCGAGACAGTCCAAGCAAAAGTTTGTAGACCAAGCCTGAGGATGAGGTTTGGACCACTGGCACCACCTGCTGATGCTTAGCCTCGTGTGTGTGCTGATATAATTTTACAGCTCCCGTGTGGTGCACATGGTCTATCGCTCTACCTGTTAGGTCACCACGTCACTTTCGCGGCAGCGATTCTGCCGCAGTTGGATGTTGCTGAACCTCGATTGGCATTTGGGTGTGGCAAAAGTACGGGAAAACGACGCAAGCCCTCTTTGGCCAAAAATCCAATTGTATAGGTTTATCGAAATTCGGTTCTCAATTTAGGTGCGAGTGTTTACGTACAGACTTTTATATGCATAGTATGCATATTATGGTCAAGTTCTTTATTTATCCTTTTTCGAGCCTAGATTTCGTCAGGATGGCAGACAACGAATTTTTTATGTTGACTACACTGTGATTTGACAAAAAACCCAAGAGCACCAGGAAATAGACACGAGACACACAAGCCCAGTCGGAAGGCATCGAGAAAAACAGAAATCGTTGATTCTCGCAGAGGACGGCTTTAGAGGCTCCTCTAAACATACGGTACATATCATCATGAGTCTTCCTCCACACGCCTACTTTGAAATCAAGAAAAAAAATGCACTAGTCTTAATTCAAGTCAAAAGATCCAGAACGGCAGGCGCTCAAATCAGGTCAGTTTTGCATGTAGAACTTATCTAGGTGCTGATATCACTAAATAGAGGACACCCCATGGCAGCCAGGGGGGGTTGTTGGTGGGCTCAAATCTGCTTCTTTCTTGGGTTGTGATATCGAAGGGTCGTAATAGCGGACTGCGTACTCTCCGCGAACTAGATCGACACCCAGTGTCTCGTACTGCTTGTTCTCGCCGTCACTGACCCCAATCTCGTGAACTGCGGGTAACTGCAGTAGCTGATGCCACTAGCTACTGCTGAGGACCCGTGGTTAAGGGGTTTTGCGTCCGTGGCGGTGAACACGGCTCTGGTAAATGTTGGGTCAAGGCGCAGAATACGGGCTATTTTCAGAGACTGCTGCGACCTTCGATATTTCATATTTCAGCAAATCTGGACGTGCCAGCACACACGAAGCGTCTTCATGGTGTCCTATATTTACTGATAACACAGGCAGAAGAGTGCATAAGATCTAGACGGCGGGGAGGTTTCTTGGGTTCTGTATGATCGTAGAGCCAGCGTCAGGTTGTCTTCCATCCCTGACTGGCAATTACCACAGCAGCAGCAGCAGCGCCTTTCAAATGCATGTGTATAGGTACGTAGCTGGTCCTTTTGTGCCAGACGCTCCGGTAAACCCAAACATTAAACACCGCCGTAACCCTGGTTTACAAGTGGACACAAGCTACCGATCAACGACCTGTCATTTGGTTGGTCAAGAAGCGCGATACATACAACTCGACACATGTACACCTTCGCACCTCCCCCCTGTTACGAACGTCGTCGCTCTGGCCGCCTCCGGGAACCTACAGCTCACACACCCAACCTCTCGAAGTTCACGATCATAGAAAACGGTAGGTGGCGACCGGTCTGAGTAGGGAATGCCGGGAAGCATCGTCTAATACTTCAGCTTGCATGTTACTCACACACTATTGTAACAGCATCCACGGCGTCCACAGCGACCACTTGTGCCTTGTGCCTTGTGCCGATTTTTCCAATTCCGATGCCAATACGAAAGACGAGACGGGCGCTATTCGCCAATCAACGCTCACAACAGGATCTTTCGTCGAACAGCCGGCGAACCGGCAGATTTCTCACCAGGTCTCCAGTCTCAATGTCTCCATGCACCAGGCAGCACGCAGCATACCCGCTTAGATCTCTGCCTGGGTCTCACAGGTGTGGTGTACTCCATGGTGGCAATCGCCTTCGCTATGAACCTTTTGTCACTATCAACGCCCCGCTCTGCGTCGCGGCAAGCGTACCGCTGGGGGCGGCGATGGGCCGCGCCTCAGGTCAGGATGTCTTCCGATCAGGTGGGTGCGGCTCGCTTCTTGTCTACTTCCACCTTCCCACCTTTCACGGCGTACCCCTACAGATTGAAGTGTGTGGCTTCGACACACGCTGTGCCTGCATGGATAGTGTGTCTGCCACTGACATCGCGTCCATTTGTCGTGTTTGCATGATAGGACGAACCAACAGCGCGTGTACACGTTTAGATTTGATGGTGATGATCCTAATTTACTTTCAACGTACAAATACCTGTATTTTGTATTTTCAACAATTTGAACCCACGGTCGGGTGTAACTCTTTGGTGCAGACACAGGGACCTGCACCCATCACACCTGACTTCGTCACGCCCGTGGAGGTTGCCGGCATCCGCTTGTCCAAGCCAGCCAAGGCGCCTGCAAGGTCAGCTCTAATCTTTCTCAGAAGGCTTGGTTCCCAGGGTGCCATAAGCTCCGTCACTCCTTGGAAGAAGATTGAAATTCGAAAGTCAAACGGGTTGATACGCGTTTAACATCCCGCGACCACCGCCCAGTACCAACGTACCAACACACAACACGCCGGTCGTATAGTTCACATCCTACGGTGTAGTTCTCTCTCTCTCTCTCTCTCTCTCTCTCTCTCTCTCTCTCTCTCTCATCTCGTTCTCAGTTGATCCGTTGCAGATTTTCTCCGTTCCCTCGCTTGTCCATTCGCCATTCATTGTTGTACAACATATGTCCAGTTCGCGCATCACGAAATATCTACTAAAAGAGTACCGGTATTGTTTACCAACGAGTACCTGAGAGAGTACATGGGTGTGCTACGTACTCCAATTCCAATTGCTCCATAAATTTGGTATGATACAACTTTCCCACACCAAGAGACAGGAAGCCATAGCCTTGAATGTTGTTTACAGTAGTCTATAGCATAACCGTCGATGCGATAAAATACGATAGGTTACAAGTGGTGTTCCTTCCCTTGCCGCCTCGTCCCGGTGACCTTATTTATCGATTTGGCGCCATTAATAATGACGACTCCGCATGGAAGCTTGTAGCAATACAATGGCGTCGGACTTCGGTCGCCACAGGTGCCCTCGTCCTTACGACTAGGCTAGAAGCATCCGCTCTCAAGTCGATTATGGTGATGATCAAAGGTTTAGGTTGAGTTTTTGAGAGTCGCACTGCTTACCAAAGGCACGAAGCTGGAAAAGAGGCAGCGGGCTTAGGTGGGGCAATTTTTTATGAAGACAAGGAAGGATTTCCCACAATTCCTCTATGTTTTAGAGGGGTAAAGCCGGGTATACACTCGTCTCCTCACACGTCAACTTTGTAAGACATTTTGTAAGACAAGAGAGAGATGGTTGGGCGATGGGCACGACGCTCGAGGAGAATCCCCGAAATCCTCTTGAAAGACCGACGCAGCACAGCAACAGCACACTAAACGTAGACAACACACTGGTTGTCAACCAGCACAGCAGCATGCGACACTGCTGTAGGGCAAGGGCAGCCAAAAGCACACATCATAGGAGTCGTTGAGTGTGGCTCTGAGAGCCCGTTGCCTGCTGTCGGCAGCACAAGCGAGGGACGACGCAAGTCAATCTGCGATCTGTCTTCATTCATCATCTACCGATCTTTTGGAGCTTCCCACACAGCCGCATCCCCACAACAGACACAACGAGACGTACACACTGCTGTAGGCCAAGGGCGGCCAATGGCACACACCATGGCTGATGCCTATGGCTAGCAGCGTAAGCGAGGGAGCTGCGAGTCCACACAAGTCAAATCTATCTGCGGTCTGTCTTCGTCTGCAGGCCGATCTTTGTTTCCACAACAGACGCACCCCCGAAACAGAGACAAGTGAGATGTACACAACGCTGTAAGCCAACGGCGACCAAATACACACATCGTAGGAGACGTCGAGAGCGGTGTTTTTAGCCCGTTAGCCGCTGCTAGCAGCGTAAGCGAGGAAAGCATGTGCACATCCATGCACAGCAGCATCAGCTGCTGCTGCAGCGGCTACGTACAGCTGATGATGATGAGAGTTTTTCCACACCAAACAGCGCTCTCATTCATCCGCGGGCCCCTAGACAGCAGACATATGACTGACTGGTAGTGTCGGGTGAGGTATGACCGTGTGCAGTGGTGGCCTCTGTGATGGCGTAGGCTCCATCTATATCTACGCTTGCTTTGATGTCTCTCTCCGCCTAGTCTCTTCGCGAGATTATTATTTTATTTTGTTAGAGGGTCCGCCTTATGACGGAATTCGAACGTCTTGTACTTTCGAAAATATTATGATCCTAGTCTCCACATCAAGTTCCAGGGAGACTGTGGTTGGGCTGGCGTGACCCAACCAAACAATTGCGGCACTAAGGCTGCCACTTTTACGAGCTTTTATCGAATATATGTGTACCTACCCGCACCATCGATTGCGGCTGCAAGAATCTGTCTCCAGCCCAAAATACCGCTTTCAGCAAAAAATGCCGCGATAAGCAATCCGCAACGAACGTCGTTTTCAGCCAACGAAGACTTGACTTTTGTTGAATTTTCCTGATAGTTCTATCTCCACGTGAAAAGTACCGTGTTCAGCAATCCAAACATCGTTTTCAACCACCGAATTAACACATACAGTCGTGGTCCCGGTTTAGCGGTCCATAGTGTCACGAAATCTCACAGCCACTATTCAGGGCATCACCGCGAAACCACTATAGGGGTTCTGAACCACGAAACGGGGAAAAACCCAATTTTTGCGCAACGATAGCAGCGTCGAAAGCTTTGGAGAGAGGGTCGTGCATGAGTCTCATTGCACGCAGCAATCATACGATTATGTACATGAGGTAACCACCCTAAGGAAGATAGCACCCTTTATACAACATAAAGCTTGTTCTCTATTTTGGACTGTTTTCTACGCGTCTCAGAGTACTGTACACGAAGTGGGTTGCCCTATAGGTATCATATTTTGTTTCCCGCATGCAGCTCTAGCGCTAGTTGGTTTCTTGCGCGTGCCTGGTGCTAGAAACCCACCACCTTTTTTGCGCTTGCGTGGATTCGAGACGGGTGGGGAAGTCTGCCCCGTCTTGGTTGCATATGAGTGGCCAATTCGGTGCATCTCGCGTTCATCCGTATCCTCCACCTCCCCACACACGCCGTGCATGCGGCCACAACAACCATCTTGACAAGTGTGCACCCCGGTCGGACCCAGTGCCTCATCTTGCGCTTGCACAACTCTGCATGCGCGCACCGCATCGCGCGTGTGTCTATCGTGATGTATGTTGAGTGTGGGCAAGCACAAGCACGCGCGAGGTCTCCGCAAAGATAACCGCTATTGGGGGCGCGATTCTTTTCAATTTGACAGTCAACCGAAGATTTATCACTCGAGGCGTGCGACCCTCGAGACCCCAGGCAGGGAGATCGTGGTGGAAAGACTTTCCTGACCGACACCACGAAGAGGAGAAGTAGATCGGAGTTCTTGCGCGGGCCACAAGGAGCGCCGAAGCTAGCATCTTGAATTTAGGGGGGGTCTAATCTCCCCGCTTCGCCGTGAACTCTCGGAACGCCGCGAGCTGAGCGCTCTAGTTTTTGCATGAGTTGGAAGATTCAAACAAGCACAATTAAATATATGTTGTCCATTGGACGGATAGTCGTGCAGCACGCACACTACGGCCATGCCAATTTCGTGTGTGTGGTTTTTGATCAGATCGAAGAAGTGGGTGGGTCTTGAAGGCCTGGATGAACGAACGGCGGGGTCGCTCATTCCAGAGACTTTGCAAGGGATGGAAAAGGACGAGGAGTTCCAGCTTACAGGTATGACACCGCACACTTTTCTGCTCATCGTAAGCTCTTAGAAAGTGCTGCGTCGTGTAGAGAACCGCCCATCGATTTTGAGCAGCTGCCGACCTGTTGAGACCGTCTACAGGACGCACGTATGCACAAGCAGCCTCTCTCTTTTTTTTCCTTTGCTTCTCATAACACACACATACAGCCTATGGCAATGTGTCTCTTGGAGTCCATGCGCTGCTGCTGCGGCAACTACTACAGACCAAGGCTCCCGTCTCGCCTGCCCATAGTATATGCTGCTACTCTCACGCTCGGGTCTGTAGTTTGCAAGGCGCGGACGCTAGCCCACAAACACACGCGCCCCAGCCCATATGCGAGCCATATCGCCAACGCCAACCGAAAAACACACGGAGAACATTTTCCGTCGTGGCATGCAGGGCAGCGACTGCTATTGTTCTTCCTAGTAACGTTCTTCGATCCCGTACTCAAAGTCCAGCAAACGCCTTCTGGAGAAACGACCTTGTTTTATACCATCGTACTTCGTAGATGAGAATCACAGCAGTCCAGGATAGCAGCCAACATAAACGAGTGAGTAGGAGAGCAAAGTATTGCACCATTGGTTTGGTGTGTGCACGTCAATTACACAAAGAAAATTCAGAGACAATCCAACAAAGTTGTGAACGCTGAAGTCATGGCCTCAGCGTAGTCTATTGCCATTAGAGAAGAGACAGCTCGCGGCCAAAGCATTCAACCTGTAAAGCAGAGCGACGACCACATGTTAAAGAAATATAGTATTCCTACTGCTGTAGCACGTGAAATACGGTCCGTTGGTCGCCAGAAAGAGGAAATGGATAGCGAAGCAACGTAGTAGCAGTACATCAGCCACAAAGGCCGCGGCCACGACACACCCACTACGTGAACGAACAAAACTGCAGTTATTAGCGTATACTACGCAGTGTTTTCGGAGGTTTTCCCGAACCATCCGACGGTGTGAAAATCGGTAGTTTGATCATGGCGGGAATGTTGAAGGTATCCGTCTGCGTGTCGTGTGGCACCTATGGTAGAACGCAGAAACTGGGCTTGCACTTTTAGTAGAAACAGCGCATGCTTCGGAGGGTAACCGAGCACACGCATTATTGTTTGCATACTTGTAGGTCAGAATAAGGCCCTTGATTTGCTCAAGTATACGAACGGAAGAACAGAAACCAGCGATTCTCGTCGATGTTCAACCAGGCACGACGGCAGTCGGCGGCATGTGTGTATTCAGTACCGGCCTCGACTGCCGTCAACGTGTGTTGCGATGGTAGTACAGTATGTTAGAAGAGCTCTCGCAGTCTTGTTATGATTTTTGAACAGCGTGCCGACTAATTGTTTGGCGCCCACTCAACGCGTTGTGCGGTCGTGCCGCGGTGCCTCCAGCCGCCAAGTTGAAGCAAATGGGACAAAAAAAGCTGACGCTGGAAGAGAAGAAGATAAGGCGGCGCGCTCTCAAGGATCGTAACCTTCCTAGCTTCCAGCAGCACGTGCAGGAACAGTGAGTGTCTTGAGTCCATGTTTCGTCGAGACTTGGACTTGTCAGTGCTCTCGCTTGACATTTATTTTAAAGTGTTATATTGTGATCATGACTGCATGGGGATTAAATTCTTTCAGCACCTCATTAATGACAACCGTTCTGTGTCGTTCTCTTCTAATAGAGGCATCAAGATCAATCGCGAGAGTTCCACCATTTTCCAGCTGAACATTGGACTCTTCTGCAACCAGGTACGATGCAACCACTCGCATGCCCACCCAGGTTCTCGCTCTGCTCGTCAATCATTTGGGTAACGTACCCAATTGGAGGCTTCCGATGAATGTTTGAGCTTCTGTCGCTGGATGTCAAAGGACGTCAGGTGTTTTTTTTTGTTCACCGAACGGGTACATCGACGATAGTTTCCGCCCTCTCGCACGAGTTCTGAGGCCCTCTGATCTTGGCGTAGAATGAAACTATGTACTCTAGGAAGCACTGCATCTACAACCCAACCCACGTCTCGAGCATTGCACTGGCGAATGCACTTGTCAACGCATGAACGTGATACGGCAAGTCTCACGTACGAGAAGCGAGCGTGTCAGTGTTTTTTACCCACTGTTTGAAACTTCCGGACCTTTACCTCGATATTAGCGTCTTGACGTCGGGTTTACTCTGTCATCGGGATTCTACAGGCCTGCAGTCACTGCCACGTTGAGTCTTCTCCCCAGCGAAAGGAGATGGTGAGCAAGGAGGTGGCGGAGCGATGCATCGAGGTAAGCGCGATTCAGTGATTGGTGCTCGCAGATGGACAAGCGACCACGTCGCAGCGAGTACTTCAGACGCGTGTGCCTCTTTTGGTATTTGCGCACCACACATATGGGAGACATCCATAGTGAGACCGTAGTACAGTACGTGCCCCGGTATAGTGCCGGTAAAGTTCTGGACACCGCCAGAGGCCTCAATAGGGCTGCTCACTTTTATAGTGCCGGTTCAAGCATGATCATACCCCTCAATAGTGCCGGTTCAGACCACACACACAACCTTTTCCCGCCTCAAAGCCGTCCACACCAACAGGATTCGGGGACTGTCTACCTCCGAGCTACCAATATTGCTCATCTTCTGCCGGTACGAATGCGAAGGAGTACCGATTCTGGTAAAAGTCAATCGACAGATACCCTGCGAATCGGGTCCTCCTTAACACGAACTCGTGACGTCTTCAAAGTCATGGTTTACCGATCGACCAAATTCCGCCACAGGCAATTCAGCCAACAGGTTGGGATTTCAGTAGTAAGGAGGCAGGCGAAAAGGAAGATGGTGGTAATGACGAAGGTTGTGGAACGGGAAGAATAGCGAAGGATAGCAGTGATGATGGAGGAGGAATATATGGCGTTGAAGGGAACAAGAGTTTTGAGCCTTTCGAGCGAGATGACCTTCCTCACAGCAAACGCCGCAGGGGGCAAGTCTAGAGATGAACGCCCGATAGTGGAAATATTAGTGACGACAGTTGTGGTGGTAAATACATGGGTAAGGATTAACACACTCCGAAATGAATGCGTGAGCAAAATAGCAGTTGTCCTCTGTTGCTACCGTTTCTGTCTTAATCAGGATAGCTTAACCTCCTCCATGACACCCTCTCAAGGGGTCCCAGATCAGGGCCTTAAGAAACATTTATTTTGTGTTTTCAACCGCTGAGGCTGACGTTTTTTCGTTGGTCAGCCGGTTACAGCGATCGATGCTAATAATACACAGAGACATTGACGCCATACACAGGCCTCACACCACGGTAGAGGTACCCGTGCTGCTGCTGAAGCCTACCAGCTCTACGCAGAGGGCCAGGGGGGAGATCAGGATAGCTGCAGCGTTCAGCATGGCACTCTTTTCTCGGTCGTTTTTCTCGCTTCTGAAGGCCGCGTTCTTTTCTCTAGCTTTTTATCGAAGGAATAGTGAAGTTTGTTATCTTCTTCATTCCTATGGCATCTGTTTGTTGTGCATGTAAGGAGCTCTACATCCATGTTGTACCTCCCAAATGCACATCGGGTGCGTGCATGAGCGTCATTCTTTCGTTGTCGAGGGGGTGCCTTTCTTTGAGGTTGCCTGAATAGTGCCTCGGCCTTCTTGCCACTACAGTACATTATTTCATGGCGAGGTGCCTTTTACTCGGGCAGCACAGTCTACGGTTTATAGGCAGCGGCAACGTTCACTACCTTAGTGTGTGCGCTGAGGTGGGACGAGAACCATGGTGCATCAAATGTATCAGGTCAACTTAATTTTTACGTAACCAAAGCCGCGTCGTCGACATGCTAGGAGCCTCACGAAACTTAAAGAAGCCCGCCCACCACGTGGCCCAGCTCAGAATTGATCCGTATACCGTTCGTTTGGTACTCTGTCAGCTCCGCAAAGCGCAAGCGCTGCACTCTGAAGTCGAACAGTCCTCAATAGTGCCAAGCCGGCAATATCGGCGGATATTTAGACCCTGAGTAGTGCCGGCGTGGAACTTGTGAGGCACAATTCTGAATAGTGCCGGTGGCGGGTATAGTGCCGGTCTACCCTCCAGGACACATACCGGCACGATACCGGTACACGTAACTGTGTGCCAACTTTGACAACGTTTCCCTTGCGCCAATCCAGATCATCAAGAACAGCCCAACGGTGAAGACTCTGGACATCACCGGAGGAGCCCCTGAACTTAACGACCATTTCCGATACATGGTGGAGGAAGGCCGGGCTCTTGGCCTCGACGTTATTGATCGGTGAGCCGGGCATGCCATGGAAATTGTGCACCCTTTCCTGCTGATTGTCACTGTGGTCTGGTGTACCGTACTGAGAATTCCCAATGCCACACTTTCTGTAGGGAATTTTGCTAAACCTGTTGCATGAACCTATGTGTTGTCTTGTGCCTAATTGCTGCAGGTGTAACCTGACCGTACTTCAAGAGCCAGGGCAGGAAGACCTTGCAGAGTTCTTGGCCAAGAACAAGGTGTGTTAAAGTGCGGAGTGGAAAGCCAGCGAGGCATCATCCATCCAAAGTATTGGGCGTGATTTTGGACGGTGAAGATGGAGAGTTAACGTAGAAGTAGACTGTGCTGGCGCCCCCCTTTATGTTGTTCAATGCTCTGATGCATGACCTTCGATGTTGGCATTGTTTCAAGCATGTTTGAGTGCCGAGCACATCTGGCATTTTGGTTTAGTGTGGAGGAAACATCTATTTTCGAAGTAACCGTGACGGCGGACGTGCGACACGTTGTGCTCTCGCTTGATTGTAGGTCCATGTGGTAGCGTCACTTCCGTGCTACTCGCCGAAGAACGTGAACATGCAGCGAGGCAGCGGGGTTTTCGATCGCAGCATCAAGGGTCTTATGATGCTCAACGCGCTCGGATATGGTCAACCCAACTCGGGTCTGAAGCTCGACCTCGTCTATAACCCTATCGGGGGATTCCTGCCTCCCGAACAGGTGCGTGTACCGCAGCACAACAAGTTTTTCGTTTGAATCCCTCGTGGCTTACCCCTTGGCATCTCAAAGTGGTGCTTCGCGTTTTGATTTACCTCGTGCAGTCATACCTTACATGCCAACGTCGTGTCTTGCGCTTGGGCGTACACCCCATGATTGATCTTGGTTTGGTGTGTTTCCGGCCCTCTTTGGTATGCATTGGAAGGTGGCATTGGAGGTTAAGTACAAGGAGGAACTGAACGAAGCGTTTGGCATCAAGTTCAACAACCTCTTCACCATCACAAACATGCCTATCAAGGTGAGGATATCCGTCCCAGGCTGACCATATGCGCTGCTGCTGAAATACATCTCCCAGTACATCTAACGTTGCAACGTAAGTTGTGTGATTGTTCTGGCAAACACAGATTGTTCTGGCGAACACCTATCGAATTGTATAGCACACTACTGTTCTACATACATTTCGTTACATGCAGCGCTTCGCCGACTTCCTGTACCGGAGGGGAGAACTGCAAGAGTACATGGAGTTGCTTGTCCGCAACTTCAACACGGCGGCGTGCAGCGGGCTCATGTGCAAGTGAGTAAGAGTTTGGTACTAGCCTTGGCATGGTCACTGTTCGCCTCTCGATTTGAAACTGCGTTCTTTTCGACGGTTTCGTACTTTGGCGTGAGTGAAGTTTGGTTGATGTGCTGCTCTCCTTCATCCACTTGGCTCCACACAGGGATACCATCAACGTTGGATGGGACGGGCGCGTTTTTGACTGCGACTTCAATCAGCAACTGGGATTGGGAATGGGGACGGCTGGGACGAATGCCGGTGCCTCGGAAAAGCTTCTTGCTGTTAAGGTTAGTTTCTCTTCGCTGTTCCGATCCGTTTCCAGGGCGACTGCGTGCTTAGAGCCTATCCAGGAAAGCCCTACGTTCTCAACTTTTGTTTTGCGCCCCTCTGTTCGCGAGCGTTCGGCAGCGGCGGGGTCATTCCCAAGTGATTCCTTCGGGCTTGGAACAGCGATCAGCAGGGCACGAAATATGTACCCCACGGCCGGAACTCGGTTCCCTTTGCGTGTGAACATTACTAACTTTTGGATTTCAAATTTCAACTTCAGTTGAAGTACAGAGTGGGGGTCCCCGAATAAGGCGGTTGTGGGGCAGCTAAATGACTGCCTTACATGGGGCAGCTGCCTTATTCAATGTGTAGAACAACTTGATTACTCCGTCTATGCCAGCCAATTTGACCTACCGTATGTAGGGCGACCGCCTTGTTTAGACCGCCTTTTTCGGGGGACCCCCACAGTAACGCATTCTGGAATGTCAGGCATCACCATAGCGGCGAAAATTGCAGTGTTTCTGACGACGTGTTGTACCCGACTTTCGCGATGCATGCTTTCAGGAGGGCTACTCTATCTTCGACGTTGACTCGGTGGATGACATGCAGACCACCGACATCGTGCTTGAAAGCCACTGCTACGGATGTACGGCAGGCAATGGGTCCAGTTGCCAAGGAGCTACAGCTTGAGGACCACAAAGACCTGTTGCCGTTGCCGTCGTGCGTGTTTGGATTTTTCACGTTCGAAGTACGTTCGCCTCGCGTCTTGATAGAATTCCCGTCTCTATGTTTATTCGTCCGTAACGATTGTTTAGCCCTTGAAGCTACGCATGCGGGGGCGGGCGCTTTGCCCCCGAAACCGCCCCGTCAAGGTGGCATGAACTTTTCCGTTTGCGTACTGTATGGGCTTCAAACTTGAACGGTCACCCACAAGATTCCCGGCAACACCAACTACAATAATTTTTAGTAAATTTTAGGAGAAACAATTTACGTAGTACCGGTCCTCTACCGCAAAAGCTTGTTCGTCTCAGGACGCATTACGTGCGCGATATGGAAGGCTTTCTGTAGAAAAAATTGCGTAGACGTGTGATCTCTCAAAGTCTCAGTGTTGTTCTTGTAAGGCTAAGGCTTGTAAGCTCCGGGTAGAGTTTGTTGGAAAGGTGTCAAGACTCACGGACGTATCGGGTAGGGTTTTGGAAAGGCTGATTAACGAGTGGGGAGGTAGCTTATGGAATGGTGACGTAACGCACGAACGTTTTCCGTGTTCGTGCTTTTTCGTACCTCTACCGCGGGTATTTGGGTATTTTTCCACGGGGTATATACAGCGTACTACAGAAGCTCCGGTAGAGGAAATCGGAAGCGACACAAAAGCATCAACGGCTAGATACCCGGGAACGTACCCCCGAACACGTGTTGTGCATACAGGTGCCCTAATTGGCTACCCGTAGGTGATACGTCTATGGAATTTGGCCTCAGGCCATTCCAATCGATTTAGTTAAATTCCAGTGGACTAGAGACGGAGACGGTGCACAAAATGTGGCATAGCTACGGCGCGCAGGCCTGTCTAAACGCGTGAGTGTTTTGTGGACGCTCTTCGAACGTCAATGACAGTTCAATTCTTTGGTCAAGACGGCTGATACTTGGATTTTGATAACATGACTGCAGTTCCGCACGATTTTTGGCACAAACACGCCAAGCAACACCTTCCGCCGCCACCGAGTTCCACTGGATCCAGTTGAAAATCTTCATAAAACGAATGGGTGGAGTGTCAACTCAACAACCGTGCCTGGGACGCTGCTACAATGCACTGCACGCGCACCTCGCAGGGTGTCTAGAGGCAAAGAGCTTCTAGGGCATCTACGACCTTGTCAAACGAGGGTCGATCAGCGGGCAGGTTGCTCCAGCAGCTCTTCATCAACCTACTGATTGCCACCGGACAGTCCTCTGGTATCGAAGGGCCTTCACCGTTGTATTTGGCCCCAACCACCTGTTGATTGTCAGTCACCATAAAGGAAGGATTTATCGACTTGGTCCTTACTTTATGAAGAAACGGGTTCAGCAACTTCAGCGGGTGCTACGTGACGGATTGGACAATAATTCGTCACGCTCCATTTCATATCGAGCACGGTGCTGATTAACCGCATGCGCCAACCAAAATACATTTTGATCTGTGGAGGTTTAAGCATGCGAATACATGGGGATAGAATTGGCTGTTGACGACTCGTATCCTCGACCGGCCAGCGGTAAAGTGGTGCACCGGCAGTCTACAGTAGTCTTGTCTCGAGTTATTGAGCGCAAGGGATCCCCCGCATGGCATGTACTTCGTCAGAGGCTCGAGACAAGCTTGCGTGATGCGTAGTCACCATCTCACACCTGGCTCGGTAGAAGGTTCGCGTAGGGCAGGGAGGGGTCCTTCTGCATGATCTCCCAGAACACAATTCCGAAGCTGTAGACATCACTCTTCTCGCTGAAGCCGGCACCGGCCAGCACCTCTCGCGACGCCCACGGTAGCTCCTTTTCTGCCTGCTCTTCCGCGCGCTTGTCGCCGGTGAAGAAGTCGATCAGCTCGGTCGTCATGGTCAGACCGACACCGAGTATCTGAGGACAAGGTCAAAAAACGCTCACGGGTTAGCACGCCGCTACAACGTACGGAGTACCGGTGCCAGTTAAAACTATGAACAGAGTCACTAAATAGTCGATGCTATATGTGTGCTGCTGTGTCCTACGCTGTTCTGTGTCTCACGCTGCTGTGTGCACACTGTTGCTGCTGGTCCCACACTGGATGAAAAAATATAATCAATTGGGTAAGCAGCCGTGGGCACACGGCAAGCTATTAAAACTATCAACAAAGTCCTTACAGTAGTCGAAGGGACCTATATAGTGCCGGTAAAATCTCTCGACACAGGCAGAGCTCTCAATAGAGCCACGGCAAGCTATTAAAACCATCAACAAAGTCCCTACAGTAGTCGAGGGACCTGTATAGTGCCGGTAAAATCTCTCGACACAGGCGGAGCTCTCAATAGAGCCAGGCCGGCACTAATGAGAGCTTGCCCGGAATAGTGTGCCGGTTGGGCGCCGCTGTAACCCCCAATAGTGCCGGTTCACCCGCGCGCGCATACACACACACGACGAAACAGCCTTGCTTCGCCTGAAGGCGTATCATGCCAACAGGATTCGGAGACGGTCTACCTTCGAGCTGGCTCGTTATCTGTCGGTACGAACTCGTGATGTTTTCAAACGTCATGTACTACTGATCGACCAATTTCCACCACGGCCAATAGGTTGGGATCTCAGTAGTTAGTGCAGATAAAAGACGATGATGATGGCAATGAGGGGAACTCATTTGGTAGGACAGGAGAACAACCAAGACAGCAATCGAGGAGGGAATCATGGAGATGAAGAGAGCAAGAGCTTCGAGCCAGATGACCTTCCCCACAACAAACGGCGCAGGGCTAGAGAAGAACTGCCGAAAATAGCTGCAAAAATGACGATGAGAGTTATGGTGGTGAAAGCAAGGAGGATGATCGTGAAAGCACTCCAAAACGAACTCAAGTGCAAGGTAGCAGTTGGTAGACACGTGCAGTTTTCTTCTGTTGCTGTACCGTTTCTGTCGTTGATCCGGAGAATAACTTAGCCTCCCCCATGCCGTCCCCTCACGGGGTCCCAGTTCATGGCATTTAGAAGTGTTTCGTGTGTTCAACCGCACTGAGACTGACGTGTTTTCGTTGGTCAGCCGGTTAGCGCGGTCGATGCAAATAATAAAAACACACACATACACGCGACCAGGCAGAAGACAGACTCCACACAGAGAAATACGGTACACGTGCTGCTGCAGACCCGAAAAACTTTGTACGAACGGGAGCTTTTCAAGGAGCTTTTGCCGTCACCGGTTAATCGGGTGCATGATGGTGTCTTCCTTTCGCTGTCGACTAGTGCTGGTGAGGTTCTGTAGCCCGCAATGCAACTATTATATTTTACAACAAACTCTTGTGGGTTCGAAAGGGTGGAGGAAGTCTGCCATACCCAATCTAGAACTTCACTAAATACATGATGTCGATCCATTTCGTACTCTGTTTGCCTCGCAAGCGTGAGCGCCACACCATAAATCAAACACGTCTTCAAAGTGCCAGACCGGCACTAATGAGGGGTTGGCCAGCCCTTAATACTGCCGTTTGCCCGGTTGAGTGCCGGTGAACGTTCTGTGCACGTGCCGGCACTATACAGGTCCCTCGACTGCAAGTCCAAGACCCTCCTGCCGGCGTGTATTTCTGAAATGAAAGCACACGTCAAATCTGAACAGGAGACAAGGCTACTTTTCTTCAGCCACGCTACCGTACGCCTCACCTTGGCCCGATAGTCACTGGTCAGGAGGATAGAGTCGGACGAGAGATGACGGTGCTGCATACCGTGTGCGTATAGGCTCCTCATGCCCAAAGCTATGTCCTTTGCAATGCCCAAGCGTACCCTGCCAACGCATGACCAAGTCGAGGACGAAAGAACCGCGATCGGCATGAGATCGGGCACACACCAGCGAATGAAAGTACGAAGCCGCCTTTTACCTCAGGTGGGGAAAAAATTGCCAATTAAAACATACTGCACCTAGCATATCGCCCCGGTGGTATAACTGACATCTTTGTAGTATACTAGGGGCCAGGTCAAGGGTTCGAGTCCCAGCAAAAGTGAGATTTTTTTTGCTAAATAATCCTGGTCTCAGTTGGAAGCGACGCGCTGCAAAGCTCGTTGCTAGTAAACTATATCGACTTCATAGGTCGCGAGGGAAGGGGTTGCTGTACCCTTCTCGCGACAAAAATATCTCAGGCAGGAACCGCAGGAGGGCGTCCAACCCCCCCCTCCTTTGTGACCCTGGTTCGGTCGTCTAGCTAGTAGAAGTGGAGGATAGGGGCCAGAGGGGCAGACGACTGAGTCCAAAGATGAGAGAAAAATAAATAAATATGTGTATACTCAGTATACATACAGAAGAGCTACTGCTCAGCTCCTGTTTCACAAGATCGGTGTATTTCGCCACTTTCTGCTTGCCAAGACAAATATGTGATACCGAGACTATCCACCGGTACTGCATATTGTGACACGAACAAGATTACAATTCGCCGACAATTCCAAGGCTTTGTTGTCGTTCAGTGACGCGACGCTGCCCGTTTTCGACAGACCCGCATTCGTTGATAACACACGACCTCTTCTCTGTAACAGGTGAATGCAGCACATGCCGCACATGCTTCCGTGTGATGGTCAACACGTCAATACCCTGTCAACTGCTGTACAGAGCATCTCTGGTGGGTGCCGTTCCCTCGTTCAGTTCACGTGCTCAAGACCCTATTTACGGACTTTTTGCTGTGGTGTTGATGCGCACTACCGTCCATGTCGAACTCGTGACGTGGATAATGTGCCATGTGACAAATATCTCCAATGTTTTCGCCATATACACACCTCTGCGTGAGATCCTTGAGCTTGAGGGGGTTGTGGAGGAGACGGCGTAGAACACCTCCCTCCACAAACTCCGACACCATGATAATCTCGGCCGGTGACACAGACGCACCGTACGCCTTAGACGACAAGGACGGGGTATGTTCGTGCAAGTCAACCAAAAATCAGGAGCGCGGGGAAGGTAATCGTAAGTCAGCGAGCGGGGTATATACTGCCAACATAGATCGCCGTATACACGCTACCTCGGAATCCCTCTGTGTCATACGCAGCTCCAGCGTTCCTGTAGCATCTTCGCATCAAGAAGGGCGAACCGGGTCGTTTGAGCAGCTCTGTCCCCGTTGGGAGTGGGATTTGGGCAGGACAAGTGTCTCCCTTTCGGAAAAATAAAACTAAAACTTCGTTTATCGCCGTATCGCTTCTCCACGAAACTCGCGACACTCCATTGATGCATTGATGCGCCACCCTCCACGATTTCTCGTGTATACCGGCACAACCAACAGCCATCTCACTCGAACAGGCTGTGCGGGATGTGTGTACCTGGACGATGTGGGGGGTGCTCAGGCGTGAAAGAGCCAAGAGTTCCGCGTCGAAAGTGTCGAGTACCTCCGTCATCTCCTCCTTGCTCATTCCCAAGGTGTCGAACACCTGCCGTGCGCAAGCCAACCACGGCGATACAGGTGTGTTCGCCGGTGATCAGGGCAGCAACATGCGATACGATGCAAGTCGCTTCCACGAGAGCGCGAACGGCGCCGGTTCGGGGTCTGCACGGGGGGCATCGTTCCCATGTCTTCATGCAACGCACAGCAGTGGGTAATAAACTACTTGAATTGAACGAAGAAGTGTGCAAAGAAGCGACCATCATTACGCAAATACGTGGAGCATAGATTTTGAAGTAGTAGAAAGAGCGGCAGCTTGCAACTTAATCAAGCCTGCTACTGCTACCACTTTCCTGCTCCATGTGATCTTGCAGGTCGCTCCACGACCGTGACATCAAACCATAACCGACAGAGAGGAACAACCTCCCTTACCTTTGCCGCGCGCATCTCCCCGTTCAGCTCGATTTTGTACACTCTGTCGCTGCCTTCAAGAGGGCGGTAACCGAAGTGGACGTCTGATCGCTTGATCTTGAGCCTGGGATGCGCCACAGGGGCAACCAACCAGCCACGCGAGTTAGCAATAAAACAAAAAAACGCTTGCGACTACGCGCGCACGGTTTTCCACTGAAGCTACAGTACAAAGCGTGCAGCGGCGACTGGCGGGACCAATCGTGATAGAAAAATATATATTTCTCCAACCCTTAGACAGAGACGAAGCACGGGCATTATCAAAACCTGAGCGGATGCTGGTGCCTTCAATGTTGCTACTATACTGGCCTCTCGTCACAACGTCAATACGAGATACCATACGTGTGAATAGCCTTGAGGATCTTCACCGTTCTATTCTACGTTTCAAGAGTTGACGACGCAAACGTGTTTGTCATAAAGTCCAACCATGTACCATACCAGTACATACCGTTCGACAGTTTGCTTTTCGCCCTTGGAAAGCTGTGGCGTGACGAGCTTGCGGTCTGAAAGTCCTCTTGCGCTGAGACTGGTGGTCGATGAGTTGCGCGTGCCAGCGGTCATGGCGCTAAAAGCCCAGAAAGCAAGGGAGCAAGGGAAGAGGTACATTGGTTGCCTTCCCTGTTTCCTCTCATTGCTCATCTCTAGGGGCTGTTTTGCCATTCGAGGGACTTCCTCTGGTCTTCCGGTTATCATACACATGTCCTTACTTTGGGTTCACGAAGAGCTCGTGGCGACCGAAACAAGTTCTGCTTTGAATGAAGCTACCTTAGGCAGTAGAAGTTAAAACGCTGGATAGTAGTGGTCCGAACGAAGTTCAAATGTGAAGGAAACAGCGACCACGGTTCGACGGCGTGGTGGGAGCGGAAGCCAACTGACCAACTTCTGCAGTGTGTAGGCACACACTCAATCAGGTTTACAGAATGTGGAATGCATCGAACTACAGAGTGGGTAGACCAAGGCAAGCCCGACCCTATTGCCACCGCCGATGTTGGACTTGAACTACCTGTGCGCGCATGTCGAACTGTTTGGGATCACTTGTCCTTGTCAAAGTTTTGCCCCCCACCTGCGTACAGAGCTGTCACACCAGCTGTCGTCCACACTTCCGACCCAGCTCAGCGCGCCAGCGGTAGGGTTGAACCTGCCGGGACTGGTTGAGTAAGGAGGCCGAGAGGAGAGTAAGTGGACACAAAAAAGGGAATAGGGTCGTGAGCAACGGAGTACATACATGGTCAAGTGAGACGCGTGCTGCAGCCACGAACACTCGTTTGCAGGCTTGTAGTGTAGGCCAACCAAGGCCGATGTACCGCGAATATATGCATAAGAAGCAGTCAACACCCCTCATCTCACTCAGGAAAAATAATGGGAGCCAAAATTTATACCTAATCGAGCTGCTCATTGTTTCCCGGGTGAAAACAGATGCCCACTACAACAAGTAAAAGCAACCCCACATCGTGCGCACCTGAACATCGCCCGTTGGCCAAAGCTGCTACAGCTGAGGTCATCCCAGCTGGACGACCTTGACAACCGCTGCGACCCTCTGCGCCTGAATGAATCATCTCGACTCCTGAAGACCGAAACATTAGCAGGACATGCATGGTATGGGAGAGTAAGATAAAATTACGTGAGCGTACCTAGATACGTTTACCAACACGATTCTGTCAATTATGCCGTTGTACGGCTGCCGAACAGGAATCGTTATTGAACCAAAGCAGCATGTGGAAGGGTGCTACACTACACTACGTGAGGAGAGGTGGGGGTCTTCAGCAACAACTCGGCCAGACAGCAGCAACAGACAGCAGCCACCGACACAGGGTTCTTAGAACGGAAGTTGCTTGCTTCACTTCGGATGACAGCATGTGCTGCCATGCGTGATACGTGAAGAACAAAAAAACAGCGTGGTGGACTACGCGAAGTGCGGTGAACTTACAGGTTGCCCGAATGGCGTTGGGCGCGGCGGTTGAGCCAGCTCTTGGCCGCCTCGTCCTTGTCGGGCGCTCTAGCACTAGGCTTGCGGTGCTCTGCGTCCCTCTGTGTCTTCGTGGCACTTGCTGCCGCCACTTCCAGCGGGAGACTGTTGTGGCAACGCCAGAAAAGGCAGACATTCAACGGAAACAGGAGAAACGCACCAATTATTTTGGGGTAGGATTGAACTGCGAATACAACCGTCGGCAATCGGGAAGCGCTTGCCCTCGATACGTGCAATTTCATGACGAACCCCGAGCGAATCGAGGTTTGAAGAGGTTTGAATGGGTTCTGAAAAAGACAACGGACTTGCGACCTCTGTAGTGGCTGTAAGCGGTCTTTTAGATGGATATGAAAATGTGTATTCTGTGGGACGGACCCCGCTTCAAGAAGCGTTAGCTAGCGACGCGACGCGACGACAGTGTCAATTTTGTCTACACAAGTACAGTGTATAGCGTCACCTCGAGAGAGCCTGTGTCAAGGCCGTTGATTGAAAACGAAGTGTGACAGGGACGCTTGAAACAAAAAAAACATACCGGTATTGGTATACTAGGTGATTCTACAACAACAAAAGTTCCAGGTCACCATTGAAAGCTGAGCGAGCAGAAGCAACACAACAGTACGCACCCACAACATGTCTGTGCACTCTGGTGTGATAAAGGAGATCCGGTTGTTGGATGTCTGAAGGTGTTGCATCTGTGCATTGTGCGATTGAAAAACCAAGCAACCCTCACCACCACTCAAATTCTTCCGTGCCGTGGGAGGGCGTTCTGTGTGTTATCTTTTGGATTGTTGTGCCTCTATTCCCTTTGCCTTGCTCTTTTCTGCTTTGTTTTTCTTCCCTGCCTCCTCATCCTCCTCTTTGCGCCTGGTCTCTGCAGAAAAGCAAGAGGCACAAGTTACGTATAGAAGGTGCACAAACAAACACGCTTGTCGCGCTTGTCAATGTCAATGATACATTGGAGTGGGCAAAGCTCCGGCTGGTTGTGTGCATCCTGCTTGTGTTTCCGCCGGCCCCCCCTTGTCTGTCTGTCCCTCTGTTCCGACCGTCCTCGTTTTGGCTGTTGTCTGAATACCTGACGCGCTGTGGCTCTCCAACTCCCAAACGCGGGTTTGCGTGATGCGTTGCACGTACTGTAGTAGCTAACTATTTCAACTACGGTTGCATAGAAATGAAACAAACGGACCCCACCATCATGTCCTATCATATCATTGATTTACAATATTCGAGGTACAAGGACTAACATGTCTCCTTGTAACAACTGCGAGTACTAGGCGGGCGCAAAAATCCACTCCGATCTGACAAACGTTAGCACTCTCGACTCTCATTGACCTCCTTATACACTGTCGCATCATGCAACGCTGTGGTGTCTTGAACCGTTTCAATACCTGTTGGCAGTGCTATTCGGGAGGGTCCCAGGGGATGTAATAGGAGCGCCGTGATGCAGAGCTTTTCCGAGCTTTTCCGCAAGCAGCCTGTCAAGTGTTGTTCATTGAACAGAGCGTAAAAAAGTGCACCCTTCGTAGACCGTGCATAGGTAACTACTGCGTTCTGCTGTTACTATTCCGTTGCGGTATGAAACATGGCACCCTCCCCTCTCTCTTGACAAACTTCCTACATTGTATCCGAGGACATTCATTTCAAAAGGAAGGGCGCGCGTTTAATCACACGAGGTGACCCTCACGAAATAGCCACGTCTGCGAATATGTAATCTCCAACGGCTTTAGTGTGACCAGATGCGCCGACTTTCCCAATCTACCAGCGTGCTGTAGATTTCTGACGCACATCAAGCCTCACACCGCCTACTCGCTGTTTCAGAAAACGGTCGCAATGGTGTGAGCCCCAACAATTTGTTGTCTTCCCTCGACTATCGTTGGTCCAGTGTTTTCCCTAGCCGTCTCGAGACACGTAGAGCCTAGACATATTCAGAACAACATCAAAAGCAACCACGACAGCTTTACCTGTCGGCCAAGTCCTTGTCGCTGCCCATCGCAGTATGATTCTTGTCGGCATGAGCAGACCCCGAAAAATCGCCGGGCCACCGGACGTTGATGCTGCTGAACATCAGTGGATGCACAAAAGGAGAGAGCGGGATGGATGCAAACACCCTCTGAACCAACACCGGCAACAGCAAAAAAGTAAAACGAACAATTCTTGTATACACCAGCACTTTGCAGCACACGGACTGCCAGAACGCGCCCATGCACGAGAGTGCTCGACAACAAAATCTTCCACCTACCGAAACCATGAACGTGCCCCTGAAAGGGTATTCTGGTGCACTTAGGGGCTGTATCATGGGGTTGCCAAGGTCTCGAGGGAACCGACCCGCAAGAGACTTTGAACCTAGCGTAAATGGTAAGCGGTGGTCAAACCGATGTCGTCACGCCTGCAGCTCTCTCTCTCTCTCTCTCTCTCTCTGTCACTTACGTTGCGACGGGGCTCGTGGGGATGCCTACTTCCTCCTCCAATGGCGGCAAGTCAGACCTGATTCGCATGCGTGTTCGCGAAGGGTTTCGTGTCGTCTTGCGCTCTCTCGGCGTGCCCAGCCTCCATGTTTGTTCATCAAGGGGTCGAGGGGAAAAAAGGCATGGCGCACATTGAAAGAGAAAGATGTCACCAGTACTACACAGCAGTTATCCAAAAAACGAGCATTGTTGTGTACTGTACTGTAACCCGTCCACGGCAGCAGCTGCACAAACCCTCTACTTGGCGTTATCCACAATCAACACCTGTACATGACGCTGTACCAAACGGTATGCAGGAGGGGGCACTCACTTGAAAGGCTGCTGTCCCCGGACTCTTCGCCCTGTCGGCAATATCTGCTTGGACAAGGGCAGAACCACTCCTTGCGCGTGCCCTACTGCTAGTTGAAGGGCGGGTGCAAGCGCCTCGGGTTCCGCAGCTCCGTCAGCATCAGCAGCAGCCGAAGCAGACGAAGCTGCCGCAGCCGCACCAGCGGGGTCCTTGCTGTTCCACATCTTGATCTCTCGTTTAGGGGCAGAAGGCGCGCTCGTTGATGAGGCCCTCCTCCCCGGGGTTGGCTGAGCTGGAGGCTGATCCAGAGAAGTCCTGCCCCGCACCAAATCTACTGCCTCCGCGGCCACCTCTGACGATCGCAGGCGGTCTCGACGTCGAGTGTTCCCGTTGCCGTGATTTGCGCTGTCTGAGCTGCTCGTGCTGCTCGTTTCAGAGGATCTACGTGGACGGGCTTCGTCGTTATTCGACTTGCGTGAGGAGCCGTCCGCACTCTCTTTAGGCTTGCGGGACTTGCTGCCTCCACGCTTCCGAGTGTCGCGTGGTTTGTGCGCAGGGCTACTGACACTTATTACCACTTGCAGGGGCGGCATGTTCAAGGTGCGTTCGGGCATCGTCGGCGGTTTCTTGCGTGGAGAAGACTGTGGCCCCTTGCTGCCCCGGAATTCCGGGTCGACGGGTTTTCCTCCCAGCGCGCTGGTTAATCGATCCGCCGAACGTCGGCGAAATTAGTCAGCATGCGAGTGTGACACCGACAGCGACTCGGGCAACGTACATTGTACAGAGAAGAAACGCGACATATGGTCAGACAACGAGCAGTCGAGTGCAACATATGCCTGGGGAGTACATCGCCGACTTGACGGTGATATGCACAATTCTTGCTAAGATCGCCGCAAGGGGCTACGAGTTGTATGGCGATGGGGACAGGAAAACGAAGGTGGAAAACATGGACATAAAACCTGCTCACCTATTTTCGCTGCCGGCACTGTCGGGCGTTTCCGAGGGAAGAGGAGGCTTTCCTCGAGGAGTGGAACCACTGATCATTTCCCGCTCGCTGCTTACCCCGCCGTCAGTCCTTGGTAACACCGCAACTCCGGAACCACGTTGCACCACCGGCGCCGGAATGGGGGGTCTTGTCGTTGGATCCCGTGCGGGGGAAGACGCCTTCTTGCCTATCTTCCGCGGAGAATCACTGTGCGGGAGACCTTCGAAAGAAACACGCGAAACCCCCGACGAAAAACGCCTGGCCTCCTTAGCGCCTACTTCGATCGCATCAGCCCTGTCGCTACTAGCATTGCGCCGGATTGAAGAGATCTTGTTTGTCCCGTCTCGCCGGCCCCTCCCCCCGTACTCCCGCGCTCTGTCATTGCCATTCAAACTAGGCATGTCTCGCCTTGCGGGCGGGCTCGAAGTTGCAACACCTTCGCCAAAATTCGATCGCGCAGTAGGAGTAAGCGATCGCTTTGCTCTAACGGCTCTTTGGGTCGGCGTAGACACACTTTCAGACGGGGGCGAAGTGTTTGAACGTAAGATCGTGATCTTAGCCGCTGGCACCTCAGCAGTTGGCTGTCGAGGGGCTTGCTGCCTCGGCGAGTCTCCCATCTCTTTGGAGGTCCGCTCGGGCGGGGAAGACGAGAAAACGCGACGAGCACGCTCCGTGCTACGCAACCTCGCTGTTCTCCTACGGATGGCTTCCTCTCTGTTGGTTTCCATGATCAGACCCAGCAGCCCGCCCTCGTCGCTCATGTCGCTACCACCATCACCGTGATGGGCTTTTCCAGACATATCACGCGCTGCCCCTCCAGTCACACGTTTTGCAATTGTTGGTGGGGATTCCGCCAACTCGCTCTGGGGCCTGTACAAAGGGAGGGGGCGGAAGCGGGTGGAGGTGGGGTTACTACAAACAAGAGGGCATATCACCACGAGACACAGCGCTGACAACAAATGCCGGTCGATGTGAGGCATAACGAAAGGAAAGGTATACTAGCGTGCTTCTAGGCGCAACAAAAGACAGCATAGCCACGGTTCAACCTTCTGCACACCAAAGTGATTAGCGACACCACACAAGGTACCCCGTACATACGACTCACCTTGCAGCGCCTTCAGAACTGGACTGTCCCCCCATCGTCATCTCGTGGCCATCCACACGATCCTCCTGCGTGTTCTTCGGAGAATCCCACCCTGACAGTCGGCCCCCCGACGTAGGGAAGGCCTTTTTTCCGTTGACCCATCCGGGTGACTGCGACCTTGCCTCCCCTTGAATCCGATCAGGTCGCGCTAACTCGGATTCATGTACCACGGAGTCGGGCTTGGCCAACCAGCTGGATTGCCGAGCATGAAACCCGACGGACTCTGTGTCGTCCATTCTCGATGAGGTTTCATTGATCCAGCCGGGTCGTACCGACTGAGCGCCCACGGATGCGGTATCGTGTACCAAACCAAGGCGCCTGAACCCTGGGTCGTCCGTTACCGATGCCATGTCGTTACTCCAGCCGGGTTGTTCCGACTGTGCATTTATGGATCCGGTGTCGTCATTCCAGCCAAGTCGCGTGGATGGTGCGCCCACCGATCCCTCTTCGTTGATCCAGCCAGGTCGAGTAGAGGGTGCATCTACGGATCTGGTTTCCATCCAGCCAAGTTGAGCAGATTGTGCGGCCACGGAATCGGTCTCATTGGTCCAACTAGACCGCGCTGATTGCTGTGCGTCCATAGGCATCGGTGCGTCCATCCAGCGTCGCCTTGCGGAGCGGTCGTCGTCCCAACCAGCCTGTTCAGATCTGTGGAACGCATCCACCTTCGCCTTTTCCGCATCCAGCACGCTAGGTTTGTGCTCAGAGTATGGCTGGTTGATCCAATTTGGCCGTTGCGAAAGTGTGTCGTCGTCACGAACGCTTTCAAAGCACTCAGAACCTTCAGGGGATACCAGCATCGGCATCGATGTCTGCTGACTCGAGGGCATCGATTTGGTCAGCTCAGAGATCTTGGGGATCAACCCCGGGGCCGTCCGTGGTGTTTGAGAATGGTCCTCGCAGGACCCGTTCCTCTGAACATGCAGGCAGTGTTAGAGGTCAAAGCAGGAGAAGAAAAGGGCTTGTGAGTCGGTGCTGCCGAAAATGACATTTGCATGTAGAAAAGTTATATGACTGTCCGTCTGGTGCTGGACCCCGGACAAAGTCAGGATAATTTACTTGCAGTTGAAGTAAGACAGAAGCGCTCCTCTCGGATTGAGCAACTTCTGCGGACAGACATAAGCCAATGATTACTCACCGCTAAAGCTTCGCGATACGGCGGGGGCGTCTCGGACAATCGGGGCGCCAGATGTTGCCCCGGATCCCCATCTCTATCCTCGATGGTAGCAGTCCTGTCGTCCTGCCTACGCCCACCGTGGGTAGCGCTGGGACTGCGGCTAATGCTACTGCCTTCGACGATCCCCTCATAACCTGACAGAACATGTTGGGGCGCATTGGGCAACGCCTGCATATCAAACGGTATTGTAGTCGGAGGTACGGAGGTAGCTTGAAAAGCAGCCGGAGCCACTCCACGGTAGCACGCAACTCACACTCGAAGTGCGTCTTTAACGACAATCCCGAAGCGGGGTCCTATCGGTGCAATCGCACCAGGGTGCGGCAATACCAAATACCGGTCTTGCTCATCTACAGGATATCCGTGCCATGACTTAGATGGGTACGAAACCCCGATAGGTGCCATCACAAAGCACTACTACGGTAGTCAAAAGAAAATGGGAATACATATGATTCAACGTTTCCGATGGCACGAATGTGTGTGTGCGCGTATGAATGAAGCAGAAAGCGGGTGACACATCAAACAAACCTGCTACTGCCGAGACGAAATCCTTCCTTGTTCTATGCTTTCTGCTGCCTCCTCCGCAGAGCCAAAACATCGCGTCTCGATCCTGCGTGTTGCAAGAACGCATTCAAAGAGGGTTCCTGGCCATTTAGGGGACAGTCTTTAGTCGAATCGTGGCTCTGTCGCGGGTTTTGGGCGTTTTGCGTGGCAGATCCGAAGTATGATGTCACCAAACGGGCATTTTCTACTTTCCCGTCATACTCACGCAAGAGGTCATGAGCTACATTCGGGTACCCTTTGTTTCTTTGCGGCAGGATGAAACAACGGTGCAGGCGCGTGGTGCTACAAGTACATATGCATAGTTTCACTCATATGCATAGCACGGCGAAGGCGAGGTCCATGAGATCGCTCCTCGCAAACTGCTACATGTATGTATATTCGGAGTATTGAGCATTACCCAACGTTGACGGTTTTGGACCACTCTAGCAGGTGTCATGGGTACCAACCACTTTCGACGAAGATTGTCCTGAAAGCGCCTTGCGAAAACACAGCAGTTCCGTCGAAAGCCGGACAAACAAACCGCACCATGAAAAAGCCCCCGCACCCGCCCACCCGCCCACGGGCAAACATCTCCGGCATGTCGCACGGACGAGGAATTCAAGCCTGAGGTAGCTGTACCCGCACACCCCGCAGCGCATCCTAATATTCCTTGCTCTGCGGCTCGCTCAGCAAAAAGTCGTTCGGGGCGCACCGAAAAACCTTGTGGCCACGATTGCATACTATTTACTTGGAAAAAAAATGAACTGATTTCTCGTTTGTCAAAGCGTGAAAATCATCCGACTGCCCTTTTCCAGTTGCTCGCCTGAACCTACAGCAGTAGTCAAGCCCAGCTCGCCGAAAGCTACGGTACTTTTGAGGTGTAGCTCAAAAACAATTGAAACAAAATTGCATGACACTTCTGATAAAGGCGGCGACGGGCAGGCAGCGAAAAGCGAAAAGAAGTGAGGACAACTTGCACGTCAGTACTACTGCGAGGAAGGAATATCCTTCAAGCAGTACAAGTGCAAACTCTGTCGTGCTGAACTATTAATAGTTGCATCTATTATATGTACCAGGTAGTGTGTACTGCTGTAGATCCCTGCCTGCCTGTGTAGATATCACTCTTTCCCAGCAAAAAGAAAACGCTGTCCCAAGTCGAGGCACATGCTGTTGTTTTGATGCCTACGGGCCTTCTCGTAATCTTGGTCTAGATTCGGAGGATGTCGTCACCTCCCATCGCCAAAATGGCAAACGTCACACGACGTTCCTCCTTGAAGGATGGTAAATACGTAAATACCCCATCCGCCCAACACAACACTTTGCACTTTGCTGCTGTTGTCGATTAGCAATGTATCGAAAACCAGGGAACAATTGAAGTAGAGCCATAATGAGCAGGGTGTGGAAACATCATAACGGCACGTATCGGGTTCATGACAATAGAGGTGGGTTTAACGCACCCTATGAAGGATGATGCCATGCCTTTTGGAAACAGCAGACCCGCACGACGCAGGTGGGGTATCTACGTCGCGCGCGGAGCAATGTTCTGACTTCCATTTCTGGCTCCTAAAGGAATCAAGGTACCTATAGCCTCACCGTCTGGCACGGCCAGAAGGCTCGCTTTCTGGCGCTCGAAAGTGTCTCCGGTGCTTACCGTTCTCTGTCAAGCCCCTTGCGCCTCTCTCTTGGTACCTTATTCTTGACGCGGTACACACACACCTCGCACGACACGCTCGCCCACTCCACTCTGCACACACACACGTTCAACAAAGGGGGTACACGGAGGGTTGACAGGAAAGGCAAGACACACGACACGATCAACAAGATGGAAATACTGCGCCCCCTGAGAAAAGATTTTGAATCTTTGACAGTTCTGCCGTACCGGCCCGGATCTTCACCACAGCAGCAAACCAAAAGACCCAATCTTGCCACACAAACAAATCCATTCATTTGTAATATCTTTCTCTTTCTGTCCGACGAGTCGAGCATGGAGCAAGCACAGCAACCGGCGTCGAGCGTCATGGAGGTGTGTGTTCGCCTCTCTTGTACTTCGTGGTACATAGACTATACTGCTGCTGCTGGTATGGTAGCAGATTGTTTTGTTTTGCAATCTTTTATGCTTATCTTGAATTTGATTGTGTTTTTGTGCGCATGTACGGCCATGCATATGTACAGTTGGGTTTCGATCACGTGGATTCACACTGGACCCGCGCAACTGGATACAGAGTGTGTGAGCAAACATCCATTTCTTTCTCTCGTGGACGTGAGGTGCTGCCACCGCAATCTGGGGGTCGTTATGTTTGTGACCGAGGTGTGCACGGTATCTATGTACTGCCAGCCGTACGACAGTGTAAAATACACTATAATATTTGCATGCTACAACACATGCTTAACTCTACACGATACCATTGACCTTTGACCCCCGTGGTTTAGATATTACTGGTGGAATATTCAGCGGTTGCAGTGGTCGGGGTCGACGGACGCTGGTTGACCAGACTAACTTGATTATTGAAGCAACTGTTCATGTTATCCCCACTCTCTTGCAAGTCGGATACGGTACGTATGCCGGAGAGCACAAAACTATCAGCCACTCCGACACGTCCGCGGGGACTGTTGATTTCGTCGTCCCGTCTTAATTCGTTGAACTGGCAACGTTGTTGACAATCCGTTCCAACCTTTGCCTTTGGACGTGTGGCACCGCTTCTCAGCTAGAGTATGATCCAGCTGGACTGGCGTTAAAGTACGGCGTTGAAGGGGGTGTGCTGGACTCAGAATTAGATGACAATAGCAGCGACAGCAACAATGGAGATATCGGTGAGGCCACGTTAGATATATATCCTGTGCGGGACTTGTACTCCTTCCTTTGTTTGGGACGAAAAGTCGCGGTGCTGTACATACAGGATATTATATAGATGACGCTGGAAGTTATTTTCGGCGGGCAAGCTGTGATGCGTGGCAGTTACGTCGGGGCACAAGTCTACAATGCCGCTTGATTTGAATCGTTGCAAATACTTCGAAGTAAAGTGATCTGGTTGCTCGACTGGCAATGATTAACGGGGGGTGACTTATTGGAGAGAATCATGATATTCCAATACCTCGCCGCGCACAATTTATGTCATGCTGTAGTCCCGGGCGTCAACGGTTGCTCACGACCTGAAGATCCAGCTCCGAGTGATGTCGCAGGCGACAACGTTGCACGACTGTCGGGTGGAATGGCGGCCGCTCTTCAAAAGCTTCAAAATCAGAACGCCATGCTCCTGGAAGCGGTAGAGGAAAAGAGCCGACAGGTGCAGATAGGTCCCGCCAACTACAACTACGTACAGCTGGAATCTTCGTCTCATCATTATGTGCATACACGGCGTATTGGATTCCGTTTGCAACTATGTAGTACTTCCAATCGGTGAGGTGAAGGTCTTCTGCTTGGAATTCGAAGAAATTATGTGATGAGAAGTAGGCCTGACTGTAGGTGATTTGATGAGAAGGGAATTGGGGTTGGACGCACTGGGCGTTTGCCTGAAAACAATCCTACCTGCAACAGGTGTCTGATTTCCAAACGTTGTCCACTTGCACCCTTCCAGGTGTTAGAGTTGGGTACTTTGGTCGAGGCTTTGGAACCCGTGCCCGGCCTGGATCCCAACGCCTTTCTCTCAGTACTCCATTGTGGAGGTGACACAGATAGGGGGAAGGACCTCGATTATAGAGATGTCAAGATAATTCAACTCGCGAAGCGTATCCGGGATCGAGATGCGAAGCTGGAGAAAGAAAGGGCAAGGTGGGCGGGATTGGCGTCATGAATCGTTGAAGTTGTCACTTTTATCCACACACGGAAACATATTGGACGCCGATACGTTGAATCGGATGGCTTAGTCTTCGTTGTATGGAGGATGGTTGTTGAGAATATCAGCAATTTTTTTTGTGGAACACACAGGAACAACGCGATGGTTCACGTTTCGTATAATTTTTCATGGCAACGGCGAGGGTCGTTTCGATTCTTTCGTAAAAGTGATTGTGCGGGGCGGGGTTATCTCTTTGTTCACCCCTGTACCAGGAGGTATTGTTCATTCGCCTGTTTCTATTCCATCTTGCTTTTCACAGTTGCCTGAAAGCGCGTCGAGAGGCGGACGTCTTGGCGAAAGAGCTAATGGCGTGTCGAAGACAGCTGGAGATCGTGTCATCCGCTCGACCTCGGTTGGTGCGCAGATATAGGGAAAGGGCAGCACTCAATGTTATTAAAACCAGAGCGGGCGTTAGATGCTCGTGCAATATGTCAACTGCGTGTAAGCTTCTTGCTTGCGCGCAGCAGTACTCCTCGCTGAAATGAGTGTTTCGCTGAGTACATGTGCTACCCCGGCACATTTTTTCCTGGCAATAATACCTTGTGTCACATCCAGGATACCCAGCCGGCGGATGTCTCGTCTTCAGCCCGGATCGATGGAAACGAAGAACGCCTTCGACAGCAGGTGATCTTGCTGCTTTCGAGTTTGGCGAACGAGCCAACTAATGCGCTACATGAGAAGTCATGTGGAACATCCTCCCCGACACACTATTCCCCTTTGACGAAATATATCCTGATTTTCATGAAAGACGCGTTGTATCCATCCAAAGAATAGCGTTGCGTCGGCTGCGCCAATCAACAATTGTAAAGGCATCGTTAGAGCTATCGTTGCATGACCTACCATCGAAGTTCAATCCATCAGCGTGCTATCGCTGGGAGAACAACGCGCGCCCGCACTTCTTGTTCAAACTCTTTCTTACTACCAGCCAGCACCATCGAGACATACCACCATAAGCTGATGCGAGGAACGTGCACACCCGCAAAACAACAGATCGTGCTGCTGAGGAACAAACTACATGAGGCACAAGAGGAGGTTAAAAAAACGTACAGGGCTTTATCGAAAGAAGTAGGAGGAACCAGCTTGGGGCTAGGCCGGACTTTGAACGACACGGGCGGGTGGAAGGGGCGCGCTCAGCAAATAGTGATGTTGAAGGCAACGGTGAAGCAGCTACAGACACAGCTTCGGAACGGACGGGTGAGTTGGAGGTCACCGTGGTTGTTCATAAATTGTGTTGCTTGACAAACGTTAGAAGCGCCTGCTGGTCGTTTACTTGTGTCGCGCAAACTTGAAGGCTTTTCAGAAAATGCTATGATAACAATGTTCCAGGACCCTGGGCAATCTGGCGAAACCCGCAGCAAGCAAGGGCGAAAGGACGTTGACAGCCAGGCGCAAGAGGAGATCCACTACATGGAACGGCATCGTGGGCACGCAATCGAGCAGCTGGAGGCGAGAAAAAAGCGTAGACAGAGGTGTTCCTTCTTGTTCGAGGTGGCAGCCCAGAATCAATACTTTTCACGAAATATGTGTGCATGTATGTATGCTCTCTCTGCCGGACCTCACTGTATCTTTCTCTTGGCCGACTGCCTCTAGAACGGGCCAAACAAATCGAAATCATCCCAAAATAGTAGATGCATGCTACATTTGCGTGACCCCGGCTGGTGCGTCAAAGCTACCGAAAGGTCTTCATTGGCGCCCAGAATAGATGGGACGAAAGCACACACAACACATTTTTTTCCCCAAGAACGCTGTTCGGTATGGATGGGAGGTCGGGGAGATCGGGCTGAATGTCGTGACCCTCGGTTCTTTGTTCCTTCTGGGCTCTTTTGGGGTATAAATGGAACGAAGGCGTCGCTTAGCGCTAGGACGAAAGACACATACACAAAATGCCACTTACTTTCATTTCACGTTTTTTTTCTTCCTTTGATGTCCTAACAGGCAAAATGCAATGCCCGGCAAGAAGAGGCAGAGGCCTTGCGGGGTCAGTTGGTGGCGAAGGGAGCGAGGTAGGTGTGCAACAGAGCACGCCGTAGTTCGTTGGCCTCACCGTTGGTTCTGAACAGGCATACGACTCAACATGAGCCTCCCAGATGTTCACAATGAGAGCGACTACTTTTGTAGCGTCCCCAAATATCTGAGGCACGGGCACACTGTCCTGTGGATATCTTCATCCTAACAGGGTCGCCGGCCTAGAAAAAACGAACATGCAGATCCGAAACCGTGCCAAGATGCTCCTGGCAAAGTCAGACACCGACGATCGCTTGGTGGATGCCCTGCGGAAAGAAGTACAAGTGAGTGCCTCGGAACCCTTTGGCTCGTGCGGTCGCCTTTTACTCCTCTTGCGCTGAGGTAATGGCTGCAGATGTATAGACATTGGCATGCTGTAGTCTTTATGCCGAGGGAACTTTCACAGGGTCGATCTTAAATACTCAACGAGTTTTCCTGCGGCTATACAAGAACACCTGATGATGCGTTCGCCTGACCTTGGCATTAGTTCTCTGCTAGGACATCAAGCCGAGCAGCGGTGGTAGTGCGGGTGTACTCGTATGGGACAACCGGGAAAAATGCGTTACAGGAAGAGGTATTACCATTAGGGTATTTATTAATCCTAGATATATTTGCATTGCGTGCTGCGGCCCGGAAATTATAATCAATCGTCTTGAGGTTTGTCTGGCTGCATTTGTTAGGCTCTGCTTTTCTAATGCGATGGTTGGGACTGCATGGCACCAGTGTTAATTTGGCTGAAACAAGGGGAGGTAAAGAAAACTTTTTCGGTGCATCCCTTAGAATATGACGTCAAGAATTTGTTAGGGATCGTCATCAGGGAATAATTAATAGCGAAACCCGGACCCGTCCTCGAGATTTCGATTATTCCCTCGCGGACAGCTGAGGAGGTCATCTTTTTTTTGTACTATTTGCCCGGGTTATTTCTCGGAAGGAACACGGGGCGAAAACTTCCGCTTTGTCATGAACAAAACCCCTGCCAAGTTTCGAGCGCCAAATCAGATAAGGATGGATGCATTATGGTCATGAGTGGCACCAGATGGTCGGGTAGGGTCACCAGCTCAATTAACACATTGCACAGTCAAGTGATTTTGCAGGCGTTCAAACAAGTAAACCTTCAACCTGTGTGGGTTGGACAAAACGCTTCCCCATTTCCTGTGGTTTCCCCGTGCTGAAGCAATGTGCTGATTTGAATACCTGAGTGAATGATAGGTGCGATCTAAGTTGGGAAACGCGCCTACTCTGAGACGATCCCAATGTAAGCATTCTTGTTTCCTGGGAAGTACGTATCGTAGACAAACGAAACTTCACTGACGTGTTCTATCTTGGTCACCAGCAGTCTAGTTCATGACTAATTCTGCTTCCTTTGCCTCGCCCACCATTTTTAGTTCATAGAAGATTCTCGTGGTCCTTCGTTCATTAACCATGCGTACACTGTTAGAAAAAGACTTATCCGCTACGCTACTGCTAACAAAAGATATACTTGTAGGCTCTTAGCCTCCCAGCTGGATCATTGGATGATCGGGATCTCCGGGGCCGGATCGCTTGCCACACGCTGCTGATAAAGTAGTTAGCGTGTACGTGTGAGTAGCATAGTGGATAAATCTTCATCTAACATACACGGTTTCTCCTTGTATCCAATTTCACGAGTCGACACGGAATGCGCCCCGTCAGGCTGACGCATGCACGTCAGTCGATGTCTGGGGTAGGCCAAAAGTTTCTAATGCGATTTGAACAAAGTCGTCCTGCCGACAAACATATCCCTCTGCATGCTCTGAATGGCAGGCGCTGCGAAACGTCGGAAGCTCATCGCGGTAGCCGTCTGGAGGGACGACCGTGTTCGTGAAGTCTTGCGAACGTTAAAGAGCAAATACTCGGAGTACGAAAGAGCTACATCAGAGGACCCGGAACATTATTTTGTCCCTCCAATTTCTAGGGCGCCCAATCGCAAGCTCCGAGCCAAAAGAGAGCAGGGTACGTCACGCTGATGTTTTTACCACTCGTTCATCTACGAAACCTGGAGTTCCACATATGGTCAAACAAGGCAATCGTTTGCAAGAAGTCGCTTGGGAGACGCTTCGGGTCGAACATCTCCATGGCAGGACAAAACACGTCTTTGCGAAGGAATAAATCGATGGTAGACGAGGATGGATTCCTTTTTGATGGCTACTCAAAAGCTGATTGAACCTGCTCTCCTTCACTGCGCAAGCACTACTAGACTAGGCAGCGTCCACTGCTGCCGCATCATCATCTGGGCCACCGTCTTCATCTTCAGGTTTTGGTTTCGCATCAAACGTGCAACTGAACGACAGAGGTTTTCCCGGCTTGAATACCTGTTCAAATCAGTAGAGTACAACGAGCGGCAACAACAACCGGCGGCACCAGAGTGAAGAGCAGAGCAAGACATAAATGAAGCACGTTGTACGCAACGATGAGTGCTAAGCTGCACCGCGGTAATTTCATCATGTACACAACCACACGATGGGAGCAGAGTCTTTCCAAGATCGTAACAAGCCATCGACCACAAAAACAGCGGGTTTTGATGATCGACGGAAGTATCACACGTGGATATGCTAAACAGACACCGGACACAGCCATCACGACCTTGGCAAGTCTTTGCGGTCACCCACCTTGAGCATGTCTTCAATGTCGTTCTTGATGTCAGCCTCACTCCCATCTCCCTTCGCTCCAACCAGGTTGTATGTAGCCAAAGCTGTTTGTAGACCTTCGTTCATGACTTCCTCAATCACATACTGTCTCATGACAACAGAAGAACATGAGAGAGATAGCGTTGTAAAAACAAGTGATATCATCCAGACTAGCCCAGTGATACGCACAACTAGTTTGGGTGTACGGTGAACAGTAGAAGACAAAGGAAAGACGAAAAGAACACCACAGTTAGGCTACATACATGCAGCACGAAAAACAAGGAGGGCGAGACTACCCCATATAGGAAAGCCGTAGTGTTGCGTGTAAGCATTAGCATTTCATAAAGCAGTACACAGTGTATCTTCGTGCGGATCGGCAGCAAGTCACGTTCAGACGAGTCTTGCGTGGGAACACTGTTATGCACAACCCAGAACCCACGCTGTTGAAGCACGCCCATGCACGTGGGTCCGCACAATAAACAGTCAGAAAAAATGCACTGGGGGGCATGCATCCTAAAGAAAGTATACGCCTTCGGCAAGTGCCAAACACCGCGTGTCTGACCTTGGTAGCCTCTGGCATAAGTCGCGGAGGAATCTTTCACGGCGCCACAGAGCGCCAACAGTGCCAGTACAGCGCCAGCACGAAGTATGCCGGTGATCGTCATGCGGAACGGTTTGTCGTCCGACACGGTACGGCGGACGAACAACAAAACAACCAACCACTTTAGGAAGGGAAGAAGTAAAAAAATAAACGTCAAGTCTTCGTGTTTGGTGAAATAGGTTTGCAAGCATTCAAACCGAATACGAGACAATTTCACGGAGGGAGAGCAAGGATCAGTGGTGCACTGCAATTTTCCTCAAAGTGTGTACGCCTGTGCGCCTATTCCAAAGAAAATGATCATTGTTCCTCACCTCTCCCTTACGATAGCCTGGAAAATCCGACTTGTTCTTGATCTCTCGCAGGATTCGATGGTGCAGAGATTGCGTCCTAGGTCCGGGAGCTTCAATGTCGAACTCATATTTCCAAACCCCTTCCGCCTGGTTGCGTACACACGTCAAGAACCATAGTAGCAAGATTTGGCATCGTCAGCTTGCCGTGAAACGTATCGTGCGGAGAGGAGAGCAAAAACGTTTTTGTACCAGAGGTCCCATCAAAGGGATCACACATGGCATCTACACAGCGAATGGACAAAGCACAAAACGTGGTGCTGCCGTAGGCTGTCGTTGTTCATCCAGTGGTTGCTCGACCTTATTACCATCCTGAAAAGGCCCTACCAAGAATGTTCCGTCTACTAAATAGCCAAATACGCTACCTAGCAGCATGTTTCGACCTCTCTTCAGGGATCATTTGTCAGAAGTCCGATTGTTTGTGACCTTCGTGCGAAGGCCTTCCAGTTCGAGGAAGAAATTGTTTGGGCGTACGTCTCAAACAGAACCTAGTACGTCAGCTTCGAACTTCCCATCAAACCCTAAAACCGAAAAAATCAGCCGTCCAACTTCTGTACCTGAACGAGAACGCCCACACCCTCTCGCCACCAAACGAAAGCAAACGAGGAATATAAGACTGAGCGGAGACATCTGTGTGTATGTGAGAGCAACGATAGGGCAAATTTGAGGCGAGCCAGGACTGATGGTAAAAGTATCGATCGCATCGAAAACTCAACACAGCAGAGGACCAGGACTCTGAACTTGAGTGGTGCCCGTGTACAGTACGAGTCGTTACGCTTGGTCCTCGGCGAAAGAGAGGCGGGCAATGGTCGCGAAAACCATAACCAAACGACAGACTCCTAAATTGCTCCATATCGAGCTTTTTACCGAGCTAGCACCTGGTTGCCCATGAAGTTTAGAAACCTTTTGATGCTCTGGATGCAGTTTCTAACCTCCCTGGAACTGAAATCGCAAGTTAGGCGTGGAAAACGCAAAGTCGAGAGCAACCACACAACGAGGGAAGGAAATGCTAAACCCTTATCGCGTTCAATGGTAAACGCAACCACCGCATGCGGGAAGACAGAGTAAACAAAAAGCAATGTTTGCATGTAACTTCTTTCTCGTGTGTAACCCCGGCTGATGCGGCAGACAAGGTGTAGATCTGGCACCCAGAACAGTCTATTCAGGACGAACCCACAGCTCTACTACATGACCGGAAACTCTGATCACAACAGAAAAGCTCCGTTTCGTTCAAACACCAAAACTAAACGAACAGTCAATGTGCCAAATTCCCCGACCAGTTTACACGTACTGATATTCACCGCCCTCGTTACTAGTGGGCGAAAAGGTCTGGAAGCAGATCGCTGTGAGCAAAGCCGCAGAAACACAGAACTCAATTTGCAGTATCGCTGTCAAAGAATAGAATCACCTCTGTGGCCATATCAAACCGGGAAGGACGATAAAATGTCATTTTCCACAGGTGTCGTTGTTTTCTCACTGGAAACGATCATGTTGGGCAGTTTTTCCCTGGAGTTGGGCGATGCTTGGGTGAAGCAGGGCTCCAGCTTGACATTCTTGAAATATTGACCAGGCGTCCAACTCTGCTATGGTGCGACACAACGCACGTATGGGCTCCAATAAATCAACAATAAAACAATAGTACACGTCATCGTTTGCATGTTCGAATCCACGGCTTGAGAGGTTGCCCAGCGCACGTTTGAGTCTCCCTGTCATATCGACGCAGCGGTAACCTACGAAATATGTTCCAACAGGTATTTGTACATGTTTCGAACCTCATCGACGATCTCCAGCTTTTTGCCCTTGATGGCTGGATTGAGTTGTTCAAGCTCCTCCACCTCCATGCGCATGCCCCTCGTGCCACAGCTGTTCCATCGCGTAGAGTGCTGAGATTGAAGGACGAACGGTTGTTTGTTTAAAGGTCATGATATGAGCATTGACCTGTATAGTCTAGAGCAGACCCGAACAAAGTGCGATTCCAACATAGTTAGGTATATAAGAATACGTGATGTTCCAGTACCAACTTCACCGTGGGATATACCAGGCGTCAAAGCACTGGTGCCTGTGTGTCTGTACCCTGAGCAAACAAGAGCGTGTAAAATTCCAGTACATGTTAACCTGTTTGTCGTTCCCCACTTCGACTACAAAAGCAGTATAATACACAGACGTCATGCATTCAGCTGGTTCGAGACATGCTGTCCAGGATGCGGACATGCGGACGAAATGCGGCAACTACGCAGGACAATGGTGCCCCAGTGCAGGGGACTTTCGCGAAAATCGATTCTACAATAAAGCTCAGGGAAAGGGTGACTTCACCAGCGGCGGGAGGTGAAGCCACTGTCTTATCCCACACTATAGGGGAAGAATAAACGGTCACGGAGATACTGTTGTATTATGCCGACCGGTCCAGGAAATGTTCCAAACAATTTCCAGGAACATTCGCACACGAAACTACACGTATCACAAGGACTCTCCTCGTCCCCATTTCTTTGGGCAACCAAGTGCCGTCACGGCAAACAAGAGGAAAGAGAGATTACGTCCTGCAGCAGTTCATTCGTCAGGGGCGCCTCGGCTGTGTGCCATACGAAGGCTGCAGTAAGAACGGCGGCGGGTTTAAAGAAGGTACATATGGACTGTTACACCCGTCAGTCTCTCCTACAAAGAGCGTGCGTGCAACATACCGTGAGGACCGAAGTGGTGTACTTCGTAATAACAAACCTGGTATGCAAAAGAAGATGGATAATCCACAACTCGTGTCCTTGGTAGAGTATGTAGACTTCCTACGTATGTACGCATTGATTGCACTGAACCTGAACGCACTCTGCATGCAGATCAGGAGTCATTCCTACATGTCCCATGCATTGCATCAACATTATAACCTGATTAAAAAAGCGCAACCTGTGTTTCGGAACGTTCACAAGGGCTGTACTATTATTCCAGCATTCCAGCTTTCACTGTCGGTAGGAACTCACGAGACTGTCAGGTTAACGGCGGTACTTGCTCATATCCACCGTCGGCTATCAATCGACGGATGACAACGTTAAACTCAAGCGTTCTTGATCAAGATGGGCGCAACATGGGAGAGAAGTATGTACATTCGGGTATTTTATCAACGAATCCCCCTGCATATAGCCCACAGCAGCCTACAGCTGGTTCATGGTCCTTGTCACACGTGCACACAAGCAACGCTGCCGTGCCTTCGTACTGGAGTATGTCGCCGATTTGTTCACAGCGTAGAGTCAGCAGTCAAATGCGACATGGTGCATGCAAAAAAGCTAGATTTCACTTTGCTCGCATCGACTAGTCCACGTATGCCTGGCATCGAGCTGGTTTCATGCTACTGCTGTGAATAGTACAGCTTCGTACATGTCATGACACCTGCCATTCTCTCTGTCTACATGTCACAAGAGCCGTCCCGTATCAGGCTTGTGTTTACTCACGAGGTTGATGCCCGTTCCCACGAACGCAAACGCCTGGGAGCAGCATAAGGCCGTCAGTACACTCGCAAGTATTGCGACTAAAGCCTGTCTCGCCATGGTGCGCGCAGTCGTCCTCACAGCAGTCAGCAGTGTGTGTCTCTCAACAGCCGCACATGAGACACACATGACATGAGCCGGCGTCCCGTCAGCGTGCAGCATGGGGCTCCGTGGTTTGAACCTCTGATTGCGCCGCATGGATCATGAACTAGACAACAGCCTATGAGCTGCGACCGGTGGGGCAAGAGGGCAGTAGGGACAGACCTCGCTGTGGTGCCGGAAGCTCTCCTATGAATCGGCGACGTAGTATACATGCTTTGATGGCCTTCGTTGCGGGCCTCACTGCTGTGCTGCTGACCCAGTGCAAAATATCGACCGCTACTACTACTGGACGATCCGCCGCTGCTGGCGTTCGCAACACAGCCTCTTCTTCGCGCAATAGTGGTGGAAGCTACAGAAGCAGGCCATCGCCTGAGTTTGCTGGTTGGTGGAAGGGTTTGAACCGGCGACTGAGTCGCAGGACTAGCGATAAAAGCAACACAGAGGAAAGGGCAATCGCAGGTCCGAATCCTACACTTGCCGACGAGGTTGGTGTTGGCGGCCACAAACAGGGCGCACACCACGCTGCAGACGATTGCGGTGAGAGCATTGATGCATAAACTAACAGCAGTCGCTTTACATTGTACGGTCATGTGTGGCACTTTGATCCGTGCGCCATGCTGTCTATCGAAACACCAACCGCTGCCGGGTGTACGTCAACCGCAGGAGCGCTGATAATCTCGTGGCGGCGACCCAACATCTTGGTTGGGCCAGACCCACGCCCTATTGCTGTGTACTTGATTACCATGTGATGGTCTGGTGTGTTGACGCTGTTTTTGCGTACCGTATGGCGTTATGCGATGTCATTCGCATACATACTCGTCTTGACGGCAGTCAACGCATTCGCAACAATAGCGATGGACGAATGTGTTGCCTCATGCCAGTATCTGCCTCCCCGCAATCACTGCCGACGCGCCTGCATAAAGCGAGCGGGCACTCAGAGAAAGCGCCATGGATGTCGATGGTGATGTGGAGATCAATGGCACTTCGGGGTGGCGGCAGTGGCAAGGGGAAGGACAGGGGGAAGGGAAAAGGAAGAGGAAGGACGATGAAGGACTTTGGACAGGTTGAACCACCTTTCGGGTCTCAAGAATCTCAAGAGTCTCAAGCGTCTCAAGAATCTTCAAGCGATAAGGAACTCGATTATATGCACGACTACGAACAGGACAGCAGAAGCGACGTCGATATCGACGTTGGTGGTTCTGCTGTTTCTGGTGATGATGAAGGTGTACTCGACGTCATGGCTAGGTTTCGGGGCGACCATAAACAGGAGTGCAAATTCATTGTTGTCACCGGTGAGTTGTGCGCACAGCAAATACCCGGTTACACGAAGCAAGCTGCGCCCGCTAAGCCGTTACACCCACCACATCAGATGTGTTGGTTTCTTTGGCATGAGGTAGTCCCTCAGATTGTTCATGACCGCATTGAACATCACCACTTGGCAGACACCACCACACCCGATGTCGACAAGGACCGTGTGCCATGTGAGTAGCCTACGAGGTAGCTGCCGCCAGAACCTGTCTTGAAAGAAGGCAATCGTCCATGATGATTACTAATGCGGTGGTCGCAAGAGATCGTTTGCTCACGGAGTAGTCATACACACGGTGTTCGTCTCATACCATTCGCAGTAGTGTGGTGTGGTAGTCCATTGATTCGGCGTCCCACTCTGCACGACATTTGCTTTCCCTGCCTATGTGTTTATAAATACGGCCGACTAGGTGGGGTTTTGAGCGGCATCGGCAAGGGGGTGACGGCCTCGAGCATTGGAGTGCTGTGCAAGATGATGGGGCTGAGACCCACGGCCATCAAGATTGACCCGTACCTGAATGTCGATGCTGGCACCATGTCTCCGTTTGAGCATGGCGAGGTATGTTTTGAGTTTCGTGCTATATGCGATCGTTGTTGATGCTGCTTGTGTTGTCGGTGCGGGAGTTGGTCTTGTTTTTTACGTTTCTCTTTCTTTCTCCTGCTAAAAGGTTTTCGTGCTGGATGACGGCGGAGAGACGGATCTGGATCTGGGAAACTATGAGCGTTTTATGGGCGTCAACCTCAGGAATGAGTCCAACCTCACGACAGGGTACGTACGTACACGGATTGGTTGTCTACTCTCCCGTAGAGAACAACGCTACGTATTGCAATGGAAATACAGCGCTGAGAGTGGATATGGTGCCGTCCTAGCCGGCTGGCGTGCATGGGTGCCAAGTCTTCATCCCGTTTGACGTGCCGCGTTTGTCCGACGGGTACGCCTGCGTGCGCCGCCCTGGAAAATAACATTCATATGTACCATAGCAAACGAGGTTGAGCCATCGCATCCGTCACGAACACCCACGTAACGCAGAGACGGTTCATGTTGTTCACTCGCTCCTCACTGATGAGCAATTCAACAGAGCGTATGTGCACTTTGTACGAGGGGGCAAGATCTGTATAGGGATATGTTGCAAATAGCGGCTTTTGCAACGATAGGGGGGCTCACTATTGGTACACCGTCTTTGTTGTCGGTGTCGCATAAACTGGCAGAAAGATCTACCAGTACGTTATCGAGAAGGAACGGAGAGGAGACTACCTTGGGAAGACCGTGCAGGTGCATAGCTACTCTGGCTTCAACTTCTGGTGGCCGTTGAAAATTTGCCAGTGACAAGTGGCCGTTGACATTCGTATTGCTTCTTGATACATGTCTCATTGTCGTCTTGGAGGTATCTATTTTGTTCCTTTTTCCCGTCAGACAGAGTCACATTCAAACCTCTGCATGAAATTTCCGCTCTCGTGCTTGTATGTTTATGCAGCGCAGTTTGGTCTGTCGCTGAACTGCCTCCTTGCCCGCATGTCTGTATTCGGGCATATTCCTGAATAGATGGCATCTAAGGTGGCTTCCACTTCTCATGTCAGGGCGAACAAACTTAGTTGCCGAGCGCGCGTACATCGGCTCTTTTTGGAACAGGTTACTTGCTTGCATGATTGTTTGATGTGGTGTCAGGTCGTGTTCGCTTGTTTGTTTAGTATGTTGAGACGTTTCTCGTTCGACGTTTGATGTCGACTGGCTTCCTTAATGCTGTCAAGAATGATGCTGATTGATTCGATCTCACCTTTTCGTATGGCCTACCTTTTGTTCAGTTTCACAATAGTGTTCAATCTTGTTGCAATTCCTTCCTTGCAGGTGGTGCCGCATATCACGGACGCACTTCAGGACTGGATCGTCGGCGTGAGCAAGAAGCCTGTTGATAACTCAGACCAGGAGGTATACCATGATTTGGTAGTTGCACTTCTCTTTTACGTTTTACGAACACCTACCTGCTCTTTGTGCTTCTCTTGTTTGTGACGCTGCGCTGTTGTTACATTCTACTCACCACCCTTGACCCCACCACCTTGCTCTCTTGGTGCACGATTGTTGTTGGATTCCAGAATATCGGCCTATAGACTAATGTGGCTTTAAATTCAACGTCACTTGCAAGTGCTTCAAAGTTCTGCGTGTCTTTACTGAACCGAAATCATTTGCCAAAGCTTTGTCGTACGCTTGCCTTCGACATCGTAGCAGCGCAGAAAGCACCTTACTTACTCTCGATTCTTGGAATGTGCCAAAAGGAGTAACAATGGGTGCAGGAAACTTGTCTTGGACGATCGTGTATGTGTATTTCGCCATCGAGGGTGTTACTATCCATCCGCAGCACAGGCAGGCTCTGAACGTTGCTAGTAGTGTATCATACTCTCTACGATGCCAACGCTACTCTCTATATCGCCATCGTGTATACCGAGTCTGTTTGATTGACCTCTGTCTGTATGCCTGTGTTGGCTTGTGCATTGCGTTAGCCCGACGTGTGCATCATCGAGCTGGGTGGAACTTTGGGGGACATCGAGAGCATGCCTTTCGTGGAGGCTTTGAGGCAGCTCCAAGACAGGTGAAAGTGATAAATAGTAGTAGTGCATGCTGGTTCCACTGCTACCGTACGATGCGTGGTGCTTGTCTTGGCGCTACCCGGGTCACTCGTGGAGATTGACAAGATACTGGTGGTGGTGCCGATTCTTGTGTTGGTATGGGTGAACATCGCCAGTCTGTTCTGTTTTCTCGTAGCGATGGCTTCGCAATCAAGTACACCAGCATGTCTCATATTTTGTCCGATTGCTGGTGGTGTTGGCATTGTGTGGCCTCCCCCTGAACCCGCAACGCATAGAGTAGGAACGTAGGAACGTTAAGCACGTTTCACTCCGCCACGTTTGTGATTCTCCCCTTGCCGGGTTTTGATGTTACCCTCTCAGGGTTGGGTACAAGAACTGCTGCTTCGTGCATGTTAGCCTGGTACCTTCGCTCGGCTCGCCGGGAGAGCAGAAGACCAAGCCCACGCAGCATTCCATCAAGCAGATGCGGGCTCTCGGTGAGGTTCAACTCCTACCCCTGTAGCTGAAAGTTGCTGAAGGTTGGTTTTGTCCTTGCCAGAGCGCACCATGACTCCTGTTCATGTCTGTCTCATCAGCAGCCCTAGCCGGACCATGAAGAAATATTGGGTATCTGCGGACTCTTCTGTTGTTGTATTTGTACGGTGTCATGTTCTCATGTTGACCTGTTGCCCGTTCATTGTGTGCACGTGCTTTCTTCCGTCCTTCCATGGCGCAGGCCTAGCCCCGGACTTCCTGATGTGTAGGGGGGGCAAGCCTGTCGTAGAGGGGGCAAGGGACAAGTTGTCCATGTTTTGCCAGGTACGGTCCGTTTCACCCGCCACAACAATCCAGCAGTTTCGATCGGTGCTTTACATGAGTCTATCCAATCACTACCAAACGGGGTGTGGTATGTGGTGGTGTTGGTGGTTGTTCATGTGGCCGGTGTGCGCCGATAAGGCCCCACAATTTTTACAGAGTGCCTCGCCGTTGCGCGTGCTGTTTCAACACGCATGTGGTGAGCTGTTCATTCGAAACGAGGTGATTTACGGTGAGTTACTCCCGTAGCTGCGTGTTACAGTCGTACATATATAGTGTTTACCTTATGAGACAAGAATGCATCAAGAAAGGTTTGTTGAGGGTACGCTACCCTGCCAGCCAGCTCCACGCTGTTCGGGCAGATGCTGATAAGGAGTGTCATTACCTTGTGGTGTACACTGCGAATCACCCGTGTGCACACCTCTCTCAATGCAGGTCCCGCCCGAGAGAGTGGTGTCGGTGCATGACGTGTCCAACATTTATCACGTGCCTCTGCTGCTGCTGGAGCAGAGTGAGTGTCTGGGTGAACGAAGTGCAATGCTTTCGACTCTCGGTAGTAGCCACTGCTAATGGTAACTGCTGTACGACAGCAATGGACAGCCAGCAATAATTTGAGCAGTCATGCACGAAATCGTGAGTAACGTTGTTTCAGCTCTCGACCCTTTTCTTCTTTCGACCCGCCATTGCGCAGGTCTCGATATTGCCGCTAACCTTTTCCTCACCTTTGTCTGAAATTTTGGGTATTTTGTCTGGACCCAAGCTTGCTTTGGTTGGAGCGGCCCAATAGCAACACGTTGTTAGTACATCGGCTACGAGTGTCAGTGTGGAAGATCATTGTGTGGTGTATGACGAGTAGCAGTTTTGTGATCTCCTCGATTACAATTCCCAAAGAAAAAAGATCTTTGTCGACTGTTTTGCATGCTAAAGTCCAACTCTCTAGATGCTGTTTTGGGCGACCATATAGTATCTCGTATGCATACCTAGTACAGTTGGGTTCATGCTTTGTTTGATGGATGGTTCGGTGACGTGTTTTTTCCTGCTGCCTTTTGACGTCGCTCAACAGATTTTCCAGCCCTTCTCGCACAGCGTCTTCGGATGGGACCAAGGCACTCTCCCGAGGCTTGTGAGGCATCGGCAGTCCGGTTGGATCGTGCGAGTCTTAAGCGATGGGAGGATCTCGCGAGGAGGCACGACGATGGCGAGTGTATGGGTTGCCAATGTCAGAAATATTCGACACACGATTTGTTATGCTATTATAGCCATTTTGAGGTGGGCGAACGGTAGACGATCAGCTTGGGCTGCCTGCGGAGACCAAGAGAGCAATGACCCATACCCCATGCAGCAAGCATGTTGTCTCAACGTCATAGATAGTAAGTAATTTTGGGTGTGCCTTCTTTTTTTATCATTCGCGCGCAGTCTCCGGCGTCGAATTCACGCAGTCTGTGGAATTGAGGTGGAGTGCGAATATTCGCGCAGTACACGTGTTCGCTGTTGTTGTTTGGTTGCCAGGCCGTAGCGCACTGCTACTGTAGTGCACTACTCGACTTACGATATATCGGGTACACTGGAAGAATGTAGGATATGCCGATTGCGGACTGATGTTCGATACTCGTTTGTCTCAAACCTCCTCCACCGTGCTGCCTGCTCTCAACTGCCACGACTGTACGGATGATGAATGCTGCCGCGACTATGATGGTGACGATGATCGTGATGATGTTCATTCAGTGTCGGACGAAGCGGTGATCGGGCTGGTGGGTAAGTACACGGAGCTACACGACACGTACCTCTCCGTTGTGAAGGCCTTGTTGCATGCGTCTCTGCACTGCAAGCGGAAACTGACGGTGAAGTGGATCGACAGCTCGGCCCTGGACACGGCTAAGCAGCACAAGGTAAAATGACGGCCAAGCACCATCTCCCGTGCCCCCACGCAAGGGAGGACCGAAAACGTCGGCCTCCGTAAAAACAAGAAGATCTATATTGGACATTAGGTAAATGGGTGATCGCTCTGTTTTTATTTTATGATTGTTGGCCTCGTCAGTGTGTTGTTGCTGAGGACCTCATGCCTCATGTCATCGTATGGCTCGGCAGCGTACTTCATTCACTTTAGAGATGAGGAATTGTTCTATGTGACCCCGCATCGGATGTCTTGAGTGAAAGAGGCAAGGCCGTTGGGTAGACAGAACTGCGATCGACGGTTAACAAGGCATCCATTGTACGAGTTAGTTTTTGTCGACGGCAACAAGATGATGATGGTCACATTCCAGGTGAGGCGTCAACAATACGATACTGCTGTAGGCCAACATTGTTCAATATTTGTCATCTCATTCATATCACCCAAGGAGCGTACTGGTGCACCCGCGACGGGAGTGGAAAGCTCTCTTCGTCGTTTCCTGTTTTCCTCCATTGTCGTGTTTCTTGTCATTACTTTTTGGGTCTGACATGAGCGATAACTCAGCAGTGTCATATATCATCGTGCATGGTCATGGTTTCGACACATAATTCTGGCGCATCGTGTCTGTTTTCCTGTGTAGGACCCGTCGAAGCACGCCAAAGCATGGGCAGAGCTAAAATCATGCCACGGAGTTCTCGTGCCGGGCGGGTTCGGATCGCGAGGCTTGGAAGGGAAAATACAAGCCATCAAATACGCAAGGTGGGTCGTTGCGCGCAGATTGAAATTGATGGTGCGGCATCTAGGCGCAAGTTTTTGTATTTTGTTAGGGAATTGGCTTCGTGGCATCACTTCTGGGTGTTGTGAACGCATTCAGTTCTTGCTTTTTTCTGATAGTGTGACATGCTTCAATATCAGGTACGAATCGCGATGTTGGCTATCGTCTACCTTCTAGACAATACTCAAGGAGGACATTCCGAACCAAAACGGAACAGTCAAGAGATGTAGTTGATTCATGTCATGTTGGTGTTTGTGTATTTTGGGTTTGGGGAAGACATCTACGAATTGTACCAATCTACAAGTATGCATAGCGTGGCTCGCTCTACCTTAGAGTAGTAACGAAGCCACACTAGGCTCGGAGGCAAACGAAGGCTCACTTGTCCGGAAACCACGACGACGCAGTGCCGCTTGGCATGTTGGGGCTTTTGCCGAACTTTTGAAGGCTGCATGCTGATTGGTGGTGATGGTGTCGATGACGATGATGTGACGCTGACGCTTCGTGCCTGTCTGTCCGACTGTCTGCCTGTCCCTTTGAAATAAACACGACATCCTTGGCTTCGCGTGGTGCGACCGGTGCTACTTGGTACTACGGCTACTCATCGTTGTCCTGAAGGAAGTGCCGGGTGCCTTTCCTGGGCATCTGCTTGGGGATGCAGGCCGCTGTGATAGAATTCGCGAGGTGAGGGGGAGCGGTGTTTTGAGACGTTCGGCTGAAGTCATGTACAGCACTGGACTTTCAGTCTGGAGGTAGTTGGTGCTCTATTTGTCGTCGTGCTGACTGTCCAGCTGTCGTTTCTTTGGCCAAAGCTCCGAACAGGGCTTACATGTTTTTCGAATTTGGGTTGGGGGTTGGGGTTGGACTGGCATTAGGGGGGTGAGGACTATCATTGCGCTGTTTTCCCGACATCAAACCGTCCGCTCCGTATGTATTCCTGTTGATGTGATGTGATGTGATGTGATGTGATGTGATGTGATGCCACTCTTCGCGTAGGTAGGTTCTGGGGTGTCAAGAGCGACGAATGCTGCCATCTGTAGTTTATGTTGACACCAACGATACAAACACTAAATTCTTGGCAGCATAGCCATCAAGCGTACATGGGGTCCACGGATGCAAACGCTGCCGTCACTTGGCCTGCAGCTAATGTATCTAATGCATCTAATCAACGCAGGGCTAAGCTGGGCCGCGAGAACGCCAACAGCGCCGAGTTCGCGCAAGGCCTCGCACCTCAAGACGAGGTAAGATTGACGTGTTTGTGCTTGTATTTTTTTGCGAGGGGCTCGAGATGGTAGACTAGTGTGACTTAGTGTGTGTTGCCTCCCAGCATAGCATGCTGGTCGCGGTACCGATCGATACACACTCTCGTGTTTGTGTCATGTCGATACTCTCTGTGTACTGCTAGGCTAGGTCACAAGTCAACGTCAGACTTGCCAAAGTGCTTTATAGCGCTGAATCGTTTCGACTCTCGCCTCCTGCATATGTGCCAACCCCTGTTCACCCTAAACTCACATCCGGTAACTGCGGTGCAGGTGGTTGTGTTTATGCCTGAGGGGGACCGGACTCGCATGGGGGGCACCATGCGGCTTGGTAGTAGGGTGACCGTGCTGAGACCAGGCAGTCGAGCATTCGAGCTGTACGGCGGAAAGGGAACGGAGGAGCTTGAGGTGCGCTGTCGGAGTATGCGATACATTGAAGTTCGATCGAACTAACCTGTAATAAATGGAATGGTATGGAATGGTATGGTATTTGGCGTGGTCCCACACTGTTTTCGTTGGAATGCTGCCAGCTTGATGGCATCCAGTAGATGACCGCTATCAGAGATGCAGCAAGAGAAAACGTCAGCGTCACGACAATACACGACAAACATCCAACGCCAATTGAGGGGTACAGAGGTAGGGGATACGACGCGTTCCTGTCCACGTTGCACCGTTGCAGCTGGAGTTGAAGCTGTAAGGCTCTCGGCACGACTGTTACGTGGCACTGGCGCGATAACCGAATGTTTCAATGTTTTAGGAATTGCCAATGTCAAAATATAAATATTCCAAGGGAACTAACTCTTCCTAGCATTTCATTAACATCTGAACTTCGCTGGCATTCAAAATTCCGTGCATTTACCCATCGACTAACCTTGCTTCTTGGTACCGCCAGTGGCTCGTTTCTTGTCTTGTTCCTGCTCCGATGCTGTCTACACGGCGTATGGCAGCTATGGGGAGCCCGCTCTATTGTCACAGTTTAAGTCTCAAACGTGTTTTTCCTCGTACGCGTACATGTATCGTCAGACAGGTACCCTAATACCATTCATACGCTTAATGATGAGGTGTCCTTTGTTAGATGACTGTTTTTCATACAAAGCTGTTGTGAACCAATTTTGTTTGCAATTCTCACGATTTCAGCCAGTGATGTTCTCCCACCATTTCCAGGTGCACGAGCGGCACCGACATCGCTACGAGGTAAATCCTTCCGTCGTGGCATCTCTGGAGAAGTCGGGGATGAAGCTGGTGGGTAGGAACAACGACGGCACGGGAGAACGTATGGAGGTGCTAGAGCTGGAGAAAGATGCTCACCCCTACTTCATGGGAGCACAGGTTTGTGAGAGCGTGATCGATCTAGTGCGTGTTAGTAGGTGTCCTGCTGATGGAACGTTGCGTTGTTGTGCGTCCTCGTGATGGGGCTCATCCCTCGAAACACCAAACTGCCGCCACGACTGCAGGCGCGAGCTTGGCGGTTTCTCGATTGCGACCCAAGTGCAGGTGGTTCTACCGTGCAAAATATGTAGCCGCGCGTAGCACGCAAGTATTATGCGAACCACAGGATAGCAACCACCCCCGGCTGACGGAGAAGACGAACTTAGTGTACGTGTCGGGTTTTGTGGGTCCGTCGTCGGCAATCCACCAACGAAGCGACATCACTTCAATTCTGCAAGTATCGAGCATCACGATAGCTATGGGCGATGCATGTGATTTCTGCCACGTGCAAGTTCTACTGGAGAAATTTGCAAGACTGAGCAACCAAACGACTAGTTGGTTGTGCAAACTTCACGGTTCAAGTTAATCGTGCAAGAACTGCTGAGATTTTTTGTGTATATTTGCAAGCGGCATTGGACTGGTGCACAACTATCTGGTGTAGTGTTTGTCCTACCTCCAACTCAATCCACTAGGGGCGCCAAAATCAAACTTGTCGATGTATCTATGTTTGGACGCACGGGGTTTGCACGTGCGTTCATTCTTTCCTCTCTCCTCTCCACCTTCCCTCCGCCGTGTACGTGGACTGCTTTAGACAACAGGACACCAAGGAGAGTTGGCAGTGAGGAGTCTAAGAACGCTGTTGTCATGCTGTGCGCGCCAAAGAGACGCAATGTATCTGTGTCGAGAGCAAGCTGCGTACCCTTCCACACCTAGCTCATCACCAACATCAAAAGAAAATGCCCGTTCATCCCTTTGTCGAACCCCTTTATGCTGTCTCCATTTCAGTACCACCCAGAATTCAAGAGTCGACCACAGCACCCCTCTCCGCTCTTCATTGGCCTCCTGCGAGCGGCGGGCCGATACGCCGATGATGCAGATCAATCGAGTTGATTCGATAAGCAGGCGATAGGCTTTTTTTTTTTGTACGAGGAGGTTTGCGATGAATATGTTGCTGGAAGTTCTTCGGTAGTGCTGAAGCTGAGGCTGAGTGACGTGTTGTACAGCGACGAGTGGGCTTCTTCTAAAAAATTCGAAGTATTTTGGCCGCATTTTTTTTTTTTTCAAAGAACAACGCCGAAGGGGCGTGATGTTTCGTGCACATGTCCTGCTGCACTGCGTATGCACCTCGACACTACGGATTAGACTCGCCTCACGTTGGTTGGTGTGGAGAGATGCGTCGGTCGTGACGCATTTTGCAGGCAGAGGCGATATCGGCGACAGGTTTACGGTGTTTGAGAGCGTCGACAGCAACATGATTCAACACTTGATATGCATTGGTGTTTTTTGTATGTTTTCGTCCCGCCTAACCTGGCACCATTTGACGTATCAGCCGGGGTGATCACACAAGAGCAAGGTAAAACGGGAACTTGCTTGTTTTATTCTTCTCCCACCCCCCCCCTGCGGTGCTTGCCTTCGATTTTCAACGCGAGAAGGGTTCAGCAGTCCCTCCCCTCTAATGTTTTGTTTTCACGGCTTCAATTGTTTGCCACCGCACAACTTTAAAGTCTTCACTCCCGAGAGACACTCGAACACCGACAACCTGCTACTAGTAGGTTTACAAGGTTACCCATTAGACCGCCATATCGGGGAAATACCTAAAATCACAGGTTTTTGGGATCTATCTGAGGTGATACTGATCTGTACGTCGCACCCCGTTTCTGCTACATATTAATACCCTTCCAAGAACCAACAACCGGAGGGCGCTCTTTTTCGCACTTTCGAACCAAGGAAGTACCCATAAACAACTAACGCGTATCTCTACCGGCCAAAACCTACAAGAGCAAAGGTTCACGCCGCAAAGCAAAACCACATCAAACACAAAACGAACAGATGACAGGCTCGCTTCGACGAAGCCTGCCCCACCCTTGCAACAAAACATAGGACGTGAAAGAACATGGACAACCAAAAATGACACTTTCGTTTATTCGCAAGCAAAACTCAAAACCACATGCTTTCCCATCATCGCATCAGGCAGAATGCAACCACCGTCTTTCAAAATACAATTACGTGGTGCACATCGGTGACGTCACCATGCCAGCCAGCACTTCACGCAGCGAACCAGGAAAAAACTACGTGCTGACATGCGCAACGAAAACGCACTACCTGTGTCGCGAAAAATAATCACTATTAACCATGCTGAAGATAATTCGAGGCTTACCGCCTCTGTTCTTCCCTTACCCCGTCCCCTGCCGACACACCTCCCACCCCACGAGTACCACGTCTAAAATACTGTATGCCGCGCACTTACACAAGCCACTGCGGCGCCGTGGGAAAACAAATAGGAACTCCACATGTCGAGAGTTGCGACTTGGCACTTCGCAACCGGGGACACCGCGATGGAGCCGCAGCATCGAAACGAAAAATGTTTCTGAAAAGGGTGGGCATTTTTGCGCAGATATACTACTCAGAGTTCGGTGGGGGTGACACCGAAGGATCCGTTCCTCTTCCTCACTGGAACCCAACCTCGACCGTCTTTCAACTTGATGAACACCACGCCCGATCCGTCCCCGGGTGTGAAGCGCTCCATAGCTTCCGCTCGTTCTCCCGGGATAAGTGCTTCGCCCTGACGGGTGGGCGAGGCAGATTGAACGCCCAACAGCAATCACCAGTCAACTTGCTTGTCAAGGGCCCATCACTCATCACCAGTCATCACGCGGGTTCATCAAAAGAACGGGATTCGTGGCCACCAAGCTTCCGCTTCGCCACCGCCAAAAACAAACAAACCGGGTAGTATTTGCCCCACAAAAGCCGGCAAGAGTATTGTCCATGATACACATGTTTACATGTTGAGCAGCAAAACTTCGTCTTCATGATACACACGAAAAAAAAAAATGAGCAGCAAAACGCGAGGTTCGCTACGACTAGAACGTGCCTAGCGGGAGCAACCTCCGCGTGTCGCGGGAGAGGAAGATCGCCGTATCGCTTACCGTCTGTTGGGATTCTAGGCCGGGCCCGAAGAGGAGTGGGATGGGGTCCTTGGCGCTAGGGGGGAAGCCATAGTTTCTCCTGGAAATGTCAAGTCACAAGGAAGACAAGAACAAAACCAACATAACGATACCATACGGTACGATAAATAACGCATGACGTCGAGAAGAGCAACTCGATTGAGGTTTATGATCGGCCTGGCGAAAACAAAAGCAAGCACGACTACTGTGCCTGGTACCTGCAATTTCTCTTGCGGATGCAACACGAAATACGTCGCCATGCTGTGCCCGGTCCTCTCTCCACTTGCAACTTAGACAAGGCATGTAACATTTTCAGTCTCTCAACTCACTCTCGACACCAACGTGCCGCACTAGAGCGGAAAACAAGGCATCCTCCGTCACACGCTGAATAACAATGTTGTGAAAAGAAACACATGACTTGCAGTTCACACGGAAGCGATAGCTGGCAGATGGCTGGCGCGGGACACGTGCTGCGAGAGGTGCCGAGCTTGGAATCCTAGTCTTTCAAGGGCTGCGCAACAGCAGGGAGTAAAGAACTCACGTGTCTGGGACAACCTCGCCATCGATCTCCTCAAACAGGGTGGAGCCATCCGCCGGGTTCTTGGCGTACGTCCATCCTCGATCGTTGCCAATGCGCAGAAACTCTGTCTCCTTGTTGGTGAGTGTCTGGTCAACACAAGGTCAACACAACGACCGACCAGTCGGAAAGGGATGGATCGGACCCGTTGTTCTCTTGTCGGAGCCGTGCTGAAAGCTGCTGCAATCCCAATTGCCGCCTTGTCTTGGCTTGTGATAGCGTTTCTTCGAAGCAACGAGCATGGGCTATGCCACGTCTTAAAAACAAAACAAAACATCGTGTCCTCAACAAACGTGCACAACCACACGGGACGTTAGAATAAAAACTCATGCCTGCCAAGCACCACAAGCGCATGCCACGCATAGATAGCACTATGCATACTTCTTTGCACCTGTGCGACTTCGATGACCTCTCCCGGGAACAATCCATCCCCGGTCCGGGGCGCCGCCTGTTCAGGGTATGTTCGTATCCACTGCGGCAGCGCATCATCCACCATGCGGTAGAAGAAGCGGCCATTCGTCCTGGCCACAAACAGACGGGCGGGCACAACAGTGCAAATCTCTTGGCATCTGCAGTAACATGACACCTTCGCTTGACCTGACATATCGATGACTACAAGGGACCATTCCGCTCCACATGACGCCAACCGCCAGGTATCAACAGCACACACTTTCGGGGTCACCGTGCTATCATAGCATGCTTCCGGAGAACTAACTGGCAGCAAAGGGCAGAGTCACACGCCATTGTGTCTTGTCTTGTCCTGTCTTGTCTTACCCTTGGCTCCAGTAGTTGTCCTCGGGCACATTGTAGAGCTTGATGAACAGGCCGTGGATTTGTGCGTTGATGGCCGTCATCCTGAAAGAAAAAAACGTCGTTTGGCACGTTTCGGGTTATGCCATCTTTTAAATGTCATAACGAGGCATGCATGGCACAAACTGCATGTCACAAATCGCACGTCGACCTATTGAGGGAAAAGCAATAATAAGTAGCACAACGCCGTCCATGGCACCGACGGCAATGGAAAGATGGAAGTAGCTAGAGAGAGCAAGAAGAAAGAGAGCATAACAGTCAACGTTTCAACCTGAGCTATTGTGGTACATACTACGTGTGCAATTTGTCGCACCGTGTTCCGTACAGTTTGTGAAGACGGCGTTGTTGTCGATGGTTATAGTTTCAAGCGTCAAACGAAGCCTGAAACTTTGCCTCCCACTCCAGTCGGGTGCAAACCCCTGCTTATATTGTAGCGCCATCCCCCGTATGCCTGTAATGTGCAAACATGTCCGACTCAACCACAACACCAGACAAGATTGCAAGTGTACCACAATACCATCGCAGACTGCTACGCCTCGACATTTACCGCGAGGATAACAATATGACGCTACTGTTGTCGGTACGTACCATTTGTTCAAGGCCAGCTCGTCTTTCCCGAGGAGGAACCAAACAGCCTCTCCGGTGCGTACGCAGAAGCAGTTCTTGGTGTTGGTGTAAGACGTGATGGAATGCGCCGTGAGTTCCATACCCTGCACAATGAAATCACACGCGTGGAAGACACACAACAGGATTGATAACAGGCTTGTGAAAAACAAAAACACAAAACAGACCCGACCTATCTGTCCAAAGAGAGGCGCCAACTACCTCGCACGGGACGGCAAGGGAAAATCGAGAGGACACCGAGCAAGAAAATGGACCACATGTTGCTGCAGGCACGACGCGCATTCGACGCCTCCTTTCCACGACACTCCCGGCAACAACCAACGTCATCGGGCGGCTAGCTACTTCACGGCCAGACGCAGTGAGCAGCCCCAGAAACGTGATGCATAAAAACAAAAAGAGCAGCAGACAACCTCGATCGACTAGGCCGGCTTAGCATGGCTCGGTGTCTATCGTTCATACCTTGTTCTTGTTCGTTCCAACCAACGACTTCTTGTCGTAGTAGGTGAGGTACCCGTCTTCGAGTCGGAAGTAGCGGGGCTTCCAGCGAGAGAAGTATTTGCTCTGCTTCATCAGGTGACCCTGCGATGATGCCCGCGTCGTTTACACCAGCAACAACACAAAAGGTTGAAGGAAATAAATCATAGCGCCCCCTCGTACGATTCATGGATATCATTGCCAGTTCGATGCAAGGACTACAAAAAAACAGTTCATCCATCAGAAAGTCACGTAACCGAGGGACAGAAGCCAAACACAAACATCACTATTATACCATTGTACCGTTACGTACGGCACAAGAAAGACTTGCCGGCAAACTCGCCCTTCACGACCAACTTCCCACGTCAGACGAGGCGAGCAAAGCAGTATCTTTCCTTAAAAAAAGAAACGCCGCAGGAACTGCGGCAAACTTTTCACGCGGCACAGGGCAAACTGCCAGGCTCCTTGCACAAACTCAAGCAGAAAGAAAGAGGCACGGTGGGCGAGGAATCGCCATGCATTCAACGATCTGGAAGAAATTAGTCCCACAACAAGATTGTCGCACCTCGACACATCCGCCTTTCATTGCCTCCTCGAACATCTCCTTGAACGCCCGAGCACCGCCGCCGAACATCATCCCACCGGGGCCCGGCCCCACCACAGCCGGCCCGCTTACGTTGTCTTCGTCGCTCTTCATCTTACGGTTGGGCGACACACTGAAAGACAGAAGAGCGCAGCCGCGGGGTCAAGCGCGAGGCAGACGATTGATAAGCTCTTGCAGCTCCCATTTCTCCCAGCGGAGACGTGCCGTTCACCACTCGATCGCTTTGAAAAGCGCAACAAAAAACTCCAGAGTGATACGTAAATGCCCCTTTTCTTGCATTCTGGCATGAAAGTGGCACAAGAGAAACAACCAGTTTTTCGACATTCCAGCATTTGAGACACAACACACTATAATAAATTTCTGTCTTGATAAGGACGCGCGCCACCTAGTGTACCTACTGCACTCCAGACCGGAATACCACAGCACGGCAAAGCTCGAGCCACAGAGAGCAAAAGAGATGGGGGGGGGGTGGTATTCTCCATCCAAACATCCGGGCAGGCTACAGGCAATGACAATTTGTTTCGTCCCTGCGATGCACTGGAAAAGAGTGGAATCGACTCGATACAGCAGTACAAGTACATAGTATTTAGTGTATACCTCGTGTCCGGCGTGCCGACGGTGTCGAGAAGATTCTTGACAGATTGTGAGGCCTGCTTCTTCAGCATTCGGCCGCGCTGGCCCCTGCCTGGAGCCGCCGATGGCAAGGCTGCCAAATGGTCGTCTGCGTCGCTCGCGCTGAGCGACAGGTTCTGAAACAGAAAGATAACAAGTAGAAACATTCGGTGACCATTGCACCACCATCCGCATGAGTCAAGAGCAGCCACGTCCGCCAGAGTATTGTTAGGGTTGGACGCAAAACGAATGCATGCGATGTTCTTCATTCACTACATCACACCCACCACGTGACGAATGATCAACAGACTTACACACAGCAGTGGGACGGCTCCATTCTGTTGCCGATAACTAACTGCTTAGCCTGCACCGCGCACGGATTGATAAAAAACGCCGGCTGCGGTTGACGGAATGACAGCGTGCTAAGCACACGCGACATCCGCCACCAACGCCACCAACTCGTGTCAACACATCAATACCGCAACACGGTACAAGTAAACAACACCGCGATGAGACCCAAAAATCAACATACCTTCATCGATGACTTGGTAGATTCCATCCTGGCCTTGGCCGTTGCCTGCTGCCTTCTGGCTGCGGCCTCTGCCTCTGCCTTGGCATCGCTAGCCTCCTTCGCCGCCGTCTCTTTCTTGCTTGTTTCGGCAATCAAGTTCTTGAACGAGCTGTAGAGACAGACCAAGTCGCGGTGGTCACGTACTGTAACGACCTCGAAAGACCCCGCAAACGTCTCTACGAGAGGAACTTAGAGATGGTTTCTAGCTTAGGATGTGCTGCCGGGCAATAAAATTTACGTCATTACAACACGAAAGTGGCGGCGAGAACATGTGCGACGTGTCCTGGCAGCACACAAAGCAACGCAAAACAAGTCATATTCCAGGGGCAGAGGTTATAGCCAGGACGACCGTTCTTGGCAAGCCAGACACGGCATGAGCGATAGTCTCGCTTCGCTACTGCCTCTGACCATAGCCCGTCACACAACAGCTACTCCTGCAACATCAACATGGCATTGTACAAACACGACGTTGATAGAAGGAAGCAAGCACCTGAAGGCCGTCAGGGCTTCCTCCGTCGCGGCATTGACGCTCGGAAGCAAATCGTTGGCCTTGCTCAAGGCCTGAAGCTGTCGCTCGGCAGCCTGCGCGATACCCTTGGCCCCGCTCACCACGGCAGCAGCCTCCACGGCAACACCAGAAGCCTTCCGCTTCGTCTCCTCCACACGCTCCTGTGTCTTTTCTACCTGAGGTTCCCCGCGGGGTGGGGTGGGTGGGTGGGTGCATCAAGAGCCACCACGAGCCAAACTGCGGTGGAACATCAAACCGCGGGCTGGTTGGCTGGTATCATAGACACCACACGAGCGGAGAGAAATACGTTGAGGTACTTGCAAAAGTGTCCGTGTGGCTAGTCGCCTGTGGCCTCCGCAGAACAAGTTGGTGACTAGAAAACTGGCGACCGTTCCCAAACACGATACAGGAACTTGGACGTTCCCCTGCTCCGCACCTATACCTTCGTTGGAAATGCAACCCCGTGATCTTCTCACAAGCGTACAGAACAGCGGCAACAATTCTTGATTGGCCGAAAAACAAGTACTCGTAGGTGCTAAGATCCCAGGTGCAGACGAAGCTTTCCGCGCCACGCATAGCAACTGCGACATGACGTGCACCCACCTGGCACTTGGCTGCAGCCTCTTCTGCGCCGGTGGCTAAATCCTTGGTTTCTTGGAACGATCGGCGGAGTCGCTTGAGAGAGTCTTCCAGCTTCCGGATCTCCTGGGCCGCGTCGCCTCCCTTGGCCGTACGCGTTAACACATCCAGCTCCTCGGCCCTGTATAGTAGACAAAAACGAAAAGAACACAAGAGGAAAGCAACAACATCCAACGTGTTGGCTCAGTTCTAGACAGGATGCTGGGTTGAAATGCATCAGCCCTGGGTACTGGCTAAACAAACTGTGCTGCCGACAAGCGGCGCTATGTACAAAGAGAGGTGAAAACAGGCAGCTGGGTGCCAGATGCAACGACAGCTGTCTGCTGATACAAGCGTTCCACTACTGATGGTCTGTTCAAACGCCTTGTCGCAATAGGCTCGATCGAAAAAAATTCCCCGTAACACAACCTTTGGAGGTTGCCTCGCGCAACTACTGTCATGTGACCTTCACAATCTACGTTTTTGGTGCCCACAAACACAAAACAAAACAAGATAAAATAAGGCTTTTACTTGGTGGACGATGCTTGAATGGTCTTGGTAGCTTCCTCAGACGCAGTCATCACGCGCTCGAAGGCCCCCACTACGTACGTGCCGATCTCGTCCTCTTTCGCTGCCTGGATCAACAGTTTCACCTGATGACGCAGAGCACGCGCACCGCCGCAACACAGGAGGGTGAGAAACAAAACGGACAACACGCATGTATATGTAGGCAAAAGAGCTCCCGTTGCCTCCGTCATCACGGAGGGGCTCACGTCTCCCTGACTCCAACAAGACTACATCCACATCTGCGTAGTCTACTTCCACACAAAACAAGGCACTCAGCTGTCTCCTACGCACGAAACCGCTGGCAGCGTAGGCTGTCAAATAACGGGTAACATCAACACCAACAATCCACCAAGGCCGGGGCATCTCCTTATCTCGACCCAAACCCCTGGCCGTTCTATGTTGCCGGCCTTAGCTCACCTGCGGGATGCTGTTGCCCGCGATGCGAGCCTTCTTCACCGCCGACTCAAGCTTGTACTCATCGTCGTCGCTCAAGATGGACTCGGGTGGGGGGCGGGTAGCCGCCCCGTCTTCATCTTTCTGCTCCGCCCCGATGGCCTTTGTGGTCATCTCCTGCGCCTCCATGACTGCCGCTAAGGCGCTATCCACCGCAGCCTTTCGATTTGATAACATTTAGGGAGGCGGGAGGGGGGACGGGGACGTGGGACAAGGGCTAGCAAGCACGGAACATGACACCTCACGCGGCAGGCTTGGCGAGATAGGAAAAGTGACCGCTTTCCGAAAAAACGAACAATGCCATCGTTCAGTGGGCTCGTGGTTTGTCCAACGGGAGGTCCATCTTAGAGTTCATGGTTCATGGAACACGGACTGACGACGCAAGACGTGAGCGTTGATCGAGACTTCAGCAAAATATAGCACCAGGCCCGTGCGCCTCCCAAGACAAAACCTACTGGTACAGCAACCCTATAGCGGCGTTGAGGCTTTGGGAGTACCTTAGCCTCCTTGGCGGCCTTCTTGGCCTTGTGCCTGTTGGCCAGAGCCTGCTGCAGCCTATCGAAGATCCAGGGGCCCTTCTCCGGACCGGTCTCGTTGAGAATCTTCTGAAGGGTGGAGATCTGACCCGCGCGGAAGAAGACGCGCGTCCTGCCCAACCGGAACACTTCCGAAGGGACCTGCGATGCCACCCACAGAGACAGATATTGCCGCGTGAATCGAGCACGCACGTTCAAGAACCTTGCGGTGGTTCCAAAAGGACACGGCGAACATGTTGCCGACCAGGTGCTCGCACCCGGTTGCAGACCAGGAAATCGGAAACGCCTTCAAAAATGGCCGCACAGCCCGCCCGACAAAACGCGGCCCATAGCCAGACCAGGTACATACATACCTCGAATGCCCACAGGATGCCCGCGATCAAGGCGGTCTCCGGCTCTCCCTCGAACAGCTTCTCCGCCTGTGCAGCGTTTTCTCCTAGGACCTGCCATTAACGGTCGATTCCGCCGTGTTGCGGCAATGTGGCAAAAAAGGGAGAATTGGTAAGCATGTCCATCATCAAAGCTACTCAAGGCTAGCACTTGAGAAAACTACCACTCCTTACAACACTTTTTTTCCATACCGCCATTTTTTCCCGACTCACCTCCTTGAGCTCGGTGTACGTTACACGAGTGGGCATCCCGACCTTGAGCACCTCGCACGTCTGAAGGATACCCAGGCACTGAAGCTGCTCCACAACATACCTGAATGAATCAATAGTGGGGGGTGAGTCGTTACGCCAGACGGGCAAAGGCATCGCCGACAAATAGATCGCAGTTAGAGGGCAAGGCCACGTTTCGTACACCAAAATAGAGCATGATTCCAATGTACCAGCAACAAAGCGCTTTGCCCCATGTTATATCATGTTCCCTGTAAACATCATGCTAAAGCATGCAATACATGCGCTTTCCTGCCCTTTGTTCTTCACCTGTTGTTGAACACGCCGCACTTCATAGCCGCGTTGGGCTTGATGCAGCGAATGAAGTTGCAGGTGGTGCTGAGCAGCGTCATGTTGAGGTCTTGCATGGATGCCAGGAAAGCCTTGGCCACGGTCGGCTTCACTAGGGTCTGCAAGGTATAGCCAGCCAGCCAGCGGTCACGGGTGGTCGTACAACTTCAACAATAGCCTTGGGATACTACTGTAGCACAGCTTTGGACACAACCAGGGCAACTATTCATGGGTCATAATGATGGCATCGGTTAAAATTGACAAATGAGATTGTTGACATGTTCAACACGGTTCTTCAAGGACACGTCACCACGGTAGCTAAAACCAATGGCTACGTGGGAACCAAAACACATATGCTGGGCGACCCATTTCTTCAGCAACATCTTCAACGATGCAGGACACGAATCGATGTCGCACCTTGCGTGATCGTGTGGGCTTTGCTTTGGCAGCAGCGCCGGTCGGGGGCTGGCCATACATGCTGGTCGATGCCCTTACGACCTGTTCACACATCCCACGTGAAAAGGAAACGCGACGGGTAGGTGGAAAGGGAAATATTCATCTGGTGAGGAAATTTGAAAACCAATGCATTCTTGCGACAACGCTACAAGAAAAAAGACTACAACCACACTTCACCCACCTGCAAACGAACACCAACACGAAACTAAGCCCGGTCACCGACAAAAACGTAAAGGACGAGGAACGCACTAGAGCCTCGAGCCACATCCCAGTCCATTTTTCAACTATAAATCAAGCAGTTTTCGGCTTGCGCAACATATTACATTTCGCACAATGCCTACGTAGAGTAGCTGCATTCACAAACGTCATCGTAATGTAGGCATAAAACGTGGAGTGTCCTTTCTCACCGCGTGCGTGCTGGCAGCCAGAGTGCCACCGAACGATTCTGGAATGCGGTCCATGTTCCTCTCGACCCACCCCTCCACGGTGTACTTCACCTTGCCGGCGTAGTGCTTCACCCAAAAGTTTTCGCGCTGCAACGCCCAGGCGGTACAGGACATACGAGAGAGAGGTGTTTCGGACAGGCTGGGAACGTGACCCTCGCTCGCGATGGCTCAGCTGGCAGTGCCCTCACGGAAACACCGAACTTCGCAAAACGGTACATTGAACGGCTGCGTCACAATCCATTTGGCCTGAGGCAGCATCCTTCTCTCACGAAGCTTCACGACAGCCCCTCTGCGCACGACACGACACGACAACTCCCCCGGCCAGCTCTCCAACCTCGACATATTTGACAGCGCGATCCTGAATCCACAAGGGAGGTACGTCACCCCCCAAACAAGGGCATGGCCAACACATCTTTCGGAGGTGACAGACTCACCTAACACCAATTCAATTCAACTCAATTCAGAGTGGTCAGTCCTCACCGCTACAGTGTTGTACAGCACTCACCATGTCCCTCGGTTGGGTCCGCGGGAAGTCTTGGTGTCGCGCGTAGGTCTTGTGCAACCCGTCTAGGTATCGGGCATCGCTGGGGTTGGGCTCGGCACACACATTATCCAAGCTGCGCCCGTGTAGAGGACAGCGCAAGGGAGCGGGCAAGAAGCGGTTGAGTTGAGCACACGGTCGGTGAAAACATCGACGGCACGGTATGGAATGCATGCAAGCATAAACCACAAAAAAGGCACACAAAAGGGTACCCAAATGGTATGCATACGCTGCAACACTTGCCAAGTGCCGCGCACTCTTGAGTGCTAAAGGCACCTGGGGATGATGCCTTTGGGTTTGGTGGAGAGCATCAAGATGCACTCGGCGTTGTCGGGGCAAGTGGATACGACCACGTCGATCCCCTCCTCCTCGTACAGCTTGAGCTCGTTGTTGAAGACCTGCTTGTTGAAGGTGTCCTGGAGGCTCTCGTTGGTGAAGTTGATGAGCAGCTGCTCGAACTCGTTCTTGGTGTCGAAGTTCTCGAAACCTGTCAATTCATCAATGGCGGCACAATATCTTGAGCACTAGTTAAAACAGCGAAAGGACACGAGTGCATTTGCAAGGCGCGGGCATCGACACAACCAGCAAGAAAAATTCCAGAGCCCTACCTCGCTACAAGCCACCAAACGCTACATTATACAACAACAGATAAATTGACAAGGTACCCGTGCGACAACTTACCGAAGATGTCCAGCACCCCAATAAATGGCAAGCTGTCCTCGCCCTTGCCCAGGGACGTGTTGATGACCGACACAATCCACAAGAACAAGGCCTGGCACAAGAAAAAATGAAAAATGTAACAAATCAGATTGAGTGCAGTCGCTCCTGGTCAGCAAGCAGCACATCGTCCACACAACACCTGCCCACACACACTCAATACGCAAACAGTGCTGCAGCACGGCATAGAAGCAGGTGGAGACACAAGCGACGAGCACAAGTCACCAAATGTAGCTCGGGATAAAAAAAAATATGGTCAAACGGTGAAGGTCAAACGGGTGATTGTGATTTTCACCGACTCGACGTGACGAGTCTAAGTGGCGCACCAAAGGTTTCACCTACAGTGTCTATTTCTCTCTCCGCAACCCGCAAGACACCGGCCCCTTGCTACTGTCTCGACCTGGGAGTTGAAGAACTCTCCAGGAACTTTCTACCCGTGCCCGTACCTCGTAGAGCGACTTGACGATAGCGTCACGCGTCAGGTTGGCGTCCGCCGCGCTCAGCTGCTTGGTGAAAGTCTCCCCCCGGGTAACTACCACCCTCTGTGTGAGCATCGCCTCCAGTGCCGACTCTTCAACGGCGAGGAGCGCTGCCAGCGTCGACAGGGCCTGCGGGAATGAAAATTTGGGGCGCATGAATCAATTCTTGAACCACTCCGTGGCACGAGCCGAGAAAGATAGATACAGGCACACCGTCCCGTTCCCAATATCAGGAGACCACAACGTGTGCACTACTATCACCCTTGCGACGGGGCGAAGCGATACCTCGCACACCTATATGTTAGCTAGCTTGCAGAGGCTTGGAAAACGTAGAATGAATGAATGCTTCTGCAAGTAGCTCACCTCGCGATCAGAGATGGTGGCGATTTCTCCCTGCTCGTGGTCCACCTTGTCGAACTCCACGTTCGACAGGTGCAGCACCGATGCCAGCATTTGCCAGACCTGCAGCTGTGACTCCTCGCCCATCCCAATCGTGTCGAACGCGCCTTTTACCGTCCTGAACTCCGCCGCGTCATCTACGTCGTCCAGGGTGGTGCAGTCGCTCTGGGAGAGGATCTTGTACGACTCCACGTCTTGCAGCTGTACGCATACGATGAGGTCATCACAACGGCAAGCAAACCCGCACATCACCAACACCGACAAGCGCGTCACTGGCACGGAGCAACAAAGACGTCCCGCAGAAAAACGCCGACGGCCTATTCTTCCCATGCTAAACCCGCACCATAGTATACCTTATCTAAACATTCAACCCTCGAAGTAACGTATAACAAGCAAGGCGCCTAAAGTGCAGGCAGGGTTTGACAGACTTACCTTGAGATCAATGCCTACGCCCGAAGCTCCGGCCACCAGCTGGTAGAGGATGTGAAAGTTCCGTTCGCCCTACCGTTTACCAGAAAACAAAAGAGGACGACAACGCGAGTAGCGTCGGCGTCAGCACGACGAGTGCAGGATGAACGCCACAGGAAAGAAAAAAATGCTGGGCATGTGCCTCAACACACCCACACAACAGGAGGGTATTCTGAAGAGTCTCCAACGCAAGCAAACGCAACACACCTTGCCCTGGGTAAGCACGCGGCTCTTCTCCAGCAGATAGGTCTCGATGAACGCCCCCGCTAGGCGGTACTTGTCCTTGGTGAACTGCAGCTTCAAGAACTTTCCGAACCGCGACGAGTTGTTGTTCCTCAGGGTCTTAGCGTTACCGAAAGACTCCAAGATCGGAGAAGAGTCCACCACCTTCTGGTCCAAGCTCGCCACGCCCCCCACTGATCGGTGTGTCAGGAAGCTGGAGGAGTCGTCAAGGGAACGGCCAGGTTCAGGATCACACGAGGCGGTCGATTCCGATGCAACACGAAAAAGGTTTCAACCGCTGGGAACGATCTTTAGCACAGCCTACGGGTTGCGGTGAGATCAGCTACGGAAGCCAGTTTTGCCACCAAAGGCTAAAAAGACGCTACCTGCATCCCAGGGAAACGCCACGATCGAGGTAGACCTCCCGCCTCATGTATAACGCAAGTGAACCAAGGACAAGTCAAGAGTCAAATTTCGACTACATCCACCCCCCGCATGAACCGGCTTGTTAAGACTGTAAGCCCAGTCGCACATAAACACCGTATGCCCAACGCAGCAGCCTCCAGCAGAACCGAAGAACGCTTGGAACATGCTGTAACCAGGGTGGTACATCCATGTGTTGGTGCTGTGCAGCAGAACACGACCTCACTGTCCGAACGTGTAAATGTACCACACATCAAAAGCCACACAAGTCACATGCTGTCGCTGAAACTGCGCGTCTACGTAGCTTCCTTCTCTTTGCACTCACGTGAGAATAATCTTGCTGGTCTCAGTCTTTCCTGCGCCGCTCTCTCCCGACACCACGATAGACTGGTTGGCGACTTTACGGCCGGCACCGAGGCGCATCTGGTGGTAGGCCAGCTGCAAGACCAAAACACGTTCAACAGGGGACACAGGTGAACAAACGGTGTCACGGCCTATTGTCTTGCAACCACAATACAAGGCGGTCGGGGCAAAACTGATGTCGCCCAAGCACTGCTGGCAGAGTCACGGATGGCCATGGGCCGAGTACAATCCGGCAAATGCTGGGTGTCGTCTCCTCGACACACTGGACGGGTCCTCATTGCTGCTATCCGAAAACCACGTCCCAGGAAACCCGACAAACGCAACGGGAATATTTTGATCTTTCATAGATGTTCCCGATGCTGAGTGGCGCTTACCTCAGCGATAGCGTAAGGATGCGGAGTCTCTGGATTGAGGGAGCGATCCATGTAGTCGGTCATTTCCGGGTTCGGCACTCTCCGCAACGGGTTAACAGCAATCAGGATAGTGCCCTGAGGGGAAACAGAGTTGAGAGAGCAGGACCGATGACAAAGGCAATACTCCTGGGTTGGAAGACCTGCAGCCGAACGTTGTTTGGCCGGCAGGTATTGGTCTTCTACGCGATGGACTATACAAGAAGGGCACCACGATACGACACGCCGCCTCATTAGACGACGCCCGTTCGCAAAACCTATCTGCTGTTTTAACATCCTGTGGTTTCAGTGTGCCAATGTTGTACCGGTCCATGACATAGTTGCCGGTGAGGAGTCAATCGCACACGCAGCACTTCCGACGACAAGGCGCCGCTTCCACTCTCGCATGCACAACACAACACAACACAACACAACACAGAACAGCATAGCACAGCACCCGGCAAAGAAGTGCACCAGAAAAGATCGCTCGCTGTCCAGAATACAAACGGAAGTCTTGACCACAGCACAACCTTCCAAGGCGATGGAGACACTCACCATGAAGGTGTACGGTCGTTGATCCTGAAGTTTAGATCTCTCCCTCAAGTTGTGAAGGATACCAGCTTCGTGAATGTGGTGCAGGGACGTCATGTCCGCCACCACCTTCGGGTTCGGCGGGTACGTCTCTCCGAAGCCCTGAGCATGAGTACATAGAGAGCACCGGGGTACAACATCAGCTTGGCGCTACGAGTCGCGAGAAAGAGCAGCTATCAAAGGAGGTGTCGCGCAGACCCGCCGAAAGCGTGAGCACATATCGAAAATCACATTACATCAGATTCGCGCATCCGGATCTCGGTCAGGATGGATGCAATACATGGTGGTGCGACCATAACACGCCAGGGGGGAGGTCATAGAGCGTATGCGAAAATCGATGCGAGCCGGTTACAGGAAGAGGGCTTAACCGGCGTGCGGTACCAATCAAGGCCGTGGCACGGTGGGAAAGGAGCGCTACTCTGTGGTCATGGGTTGGATCTTGGGTCAGGTCATGTCTGGACTGGGAGAAACAAAAAAACGGTACATACCCGGTGAAAGCGTTGTCGATGGTCTTACACGCAAACCACACAATGCCGGTTGGTCAACCTTGACACTTTAACCTGAGGGCGAGAGGTTGGCCTTGACCTTGAGACGAGTCGGAACGGCTTTTTTTTCTCCTCTTCTCTGTTCTCTGTGCTGGTTGGGGCCTATTATCTCGAAATGTACAGACATTTCGACTGGTGAGGATCGATTTGGGGCAAGATGGGGTGGTGGAGAAGGTACCCCCCAGAAAAAATCAAATGGGACACGCGATCACGATCGCCATCACTTTTGAAGCTGCGAAAAGGATTTATGCCAGATATGGAAGACCTTCAAAGCAGTGGGGGTCATGTGCGGCACGAGATCAATTGTGGTGCTGTTGGAGCGTCGGTACCGAAATACTACCAGAAGGCCAGAAGTGCACACGCAAACACCAGCGGACACAACTCCGACTGCGAATGTTTTTCGTTCGCAAATCCATACGAGAACCCGGCACGGCACACCCCGCCGGCAGTCAAGGGGTACAAAGATTGAACCAGGGGATGTTTCTCTCCGGCCGCAATGTTGACTTCAACTTTCATTCAACCTCACATAGCGTGGGGAGGGGAGCGGAGGGGCCCAGACTATCTGTCTCTGTTTTTTTACAGTCTTGGGGACTCTTCGGGTCAATATATTTGAGTATACATGTACCCTCTGGGTTAGTTAGTATCTGACCACGGGAATCGACAGCGTCAAGTGTTAATCAGTACGGACAGATGAAGGTACAGGATGGAGAGATCGGAACGGTTGTTAATTTTTGTTTTGAAGACAACAACAACCAAGACGATAGGTGTGTACCATAGCGACTTCTGCTTTAGAAAACACACAAAAACAAACAGCCAAGGTGTGATCAACACTACCGTGACTCGGCGTACACCTCCCTTCAGCGGCCTTGAGCTGTGCCTGGGGTAAGCGAGTCTACAGCAGCTGTTGGGTCTTTCTCCCCAACAGCAGAGGAACCTGCGTACAAGACCAGCAACAACTCATTGGGAACCACTCTCAACAGACCCAATTTTCGTTGTGAACACCTCCCTTGTGTAAAGCCGGCTATAGCGCCCGCTGCGTATGCATACGGGAGGCAACAACGGGAGAGTTTACGGTATATTCCACAGGGAGTTTACGATTCTATGGCGAGTAGAAGGAGCAGTTGCGGCGAAACGCTACTGCTGCTGTCACTAATAGTCTTTACCGCATGTAGATGGAGCAACACACATCATACCTCTACCACACAGCAGCAGCGAGGCATACATGTTTCCACCTTCGACATACGTCGGAGATGTGTTGTCTACTGCTGTTGTCTGGGTTGCGAAGCCTGGAGCATCATGTTCCGCGTTCGACACAGACGCCATATTGGGCGCATCTACTGCTGTCTGGGGTCTCGGAAGTTGGGGCGAAAATGTTGGTTGTAGACTCTGTCTCCACACCGCGGCAACACGGCGGAAATACGAATGACGACGAAATTTGAAGCGTACACGCTGTAGCTATGATACCAGTGGCAGTGCCGAATTGCGTAGCATTTGCCGAGCTGTGTGTCTTGGCAGAAAAATGGAAGGGATTTGAGTTTGGCTTCCGCGCGTCGGTTGGTCTCCGGGCCAAAAACACACAGACACAGATGTCATGTTCATCTCATCTCCGCTGATGTCATACGTTTTGTCTTTTCAGAAAAAAGAGGTCCCCATTACGGAACTTCGCTCTCTTTAAACTTAGGGAGGGTGGTGTCGCTTGCCAAGTGGGCTACGTTTTCGTGACCAACACAAAGCAAGCAAGAAAGAAAGGACACCATGTTCGTGACCAACAAAGGGATGAGAGGGACATGGTTCGCCATGCATACGCATACTCTGTAGTCTACTCCGCATGTGCAACAACAGCGCAATTCCCCGATCACACGTTGCCTTCCCAAAACCGAGCGAACACCTGGCAGCAGCATTCTATCATACTGCAAAGCCCCACCCCCCAACCCAATATCTTCAACCACGCATCTCATGTCCGAACGGGCACTCGCCACAGCAGGAGCGTATGCACGGTTCATCCGCAGGTGACGCCTGCCTTATTTACAATATGAGCTCACCAAATCGATCGCAAGCTCCTCTCCTGTCCTCTTCTTGCGCACAGTAAGCATAGTGTTATCTTGCCGCAAGACCTCCGCAAGCATCCAAACCTCATCTCCTCCATCGGCCTCATCCTCCGCCCAGATCTCGGTGCCCGACGGCATCGTGTCTGCACGGAGTAGATTCATGGAGACACTCGGCTGGCTTGTTATTCCTCGTGCTGGCACATGGGGCGGCATCGCCTCGACTCTCGAGATGCTCCAAGAAGCTGTGTCGCACAACACCAGATTCTCAAGAGCCAATCAAAAGAGGGGCGCAACCAAAACACAGCCGGCCTTTTCTAATTGGACAGGTGACGGACGTGTGGGGAAGAATCTACGACTGACTCCACAACGGGCTTGGTAACCTTCCAAGTGCACACAAATCACGTCAATGAATTTTTCAGATTATTTGGGAAAAATCAACCCTTGTTGTTTTGTCGTTGTACTTCATTCTTTTTCGGGGTTCCGTCATTCATCATACTTGATTCCTCCGCCCCTAACGTATACCCTCCGAATGGATGCGAAAATGCAATCTGATGTACCCCCGCTGCGGCGTTCTGGGAACGGGCGCGCGTGGACCACATGTAGACAACGCAACACGCACACGCAGGGAACCACAACAAGCTTAGGAACCAGGCACATCTGCATAGCGGTAGAGGTGTCGAGATAATTGCAGCCTCTGTGCAGCAGCGAAATGGCCGAGATGAGAGTCAAACAATCGGAGAGCAAACAAGCCGACGAGGTCCAAGCCGACGAGGTCCAAGTCGGTGAGTTCCTCGCAGCCAACGCCTTGGGTATGATTTATAGCACCTCCACTGCTTCAGCAGAGGTTTACTGCTCTCGGTCCTCTGTCCTCTCTCTGTCGGCCCTTGCACATAACCGCAAGGGATGGCAAGGTACACTTATAGCACCCACCTCGCAATGCAAATTTGAAATATTCTCCCCCTTTTGCTACACGGAACTTTACACACACAAGGCTGTAACACACACGGCTCGTCTGTCGTTGTGTGGACACAACCGTAGACTCCCGTTCTGCCGCCTACACGTAACACGTACACCGTTCGTTTTGCATTGTTTTTCAACCGTCAAGCCAGGTACGGCGGTATCTGCTAGATGCCTGTTGCGTGTGACTTTCGCTTAAGCCCGGCGTACAATCAGCCTGTGCCATAATTTTCGGCGCGCACAACTGCCAACTGCCTACAACTCCCAGAGTGTGCAGACCTCGACAGATAGGACTGCTGTATCTTCAGCGGTACACCTGTTGCAACCCCGAAGTAAGGTGGAAACTTGATACCGCTCCCCCACGTGTCGCCTTTCGTGCCTCCTTCGAGCGCGACGGTGAACGTCAATGTCGTCTCCGCCAACTATTAGCCTGGCCCTCGCGCTTTTGCACATACCATACCCCGCGACCGATATAGCCAGTCAACATGAACATCGCACTGATGCACCACCACCGTCCGTCGTGAGTGCCATGAACGTGTTTGATCGTTTGATCGCAAAGGAAGCAAGTGTGTATCATGTGTTTGTTCGTCCCCTCCTGACCCCCTGCAATTTCCATCCCGTTTACTAACGGCTGCGCTTGCTATTCACTTCTGATTGAAGAACTCCGATTTGGGATATAGAAGTCCTCTGCCTTGCATGCCTCTTAGAAGCGCTACAATACAGCAATCTTGTTGGAAGTTCAAAGAACCACTTTCCTACTACTGCTGACATGCATGAAAGCACTACGCCCGAGATTCAAATTCTCAATCTAGCCCACCCGTGCTGCAGCACATGGAAAAAATAGTTTCCTACGTCGACCTGCTGGGAATTCAGAGTCTCCTTTTTGTTTTGGTGAAGGCACTTGATCAATTTGCCAACAGCCTCGGCTGAGAGCCACCCGAAATGGTAGGCGGTCATGTCAACCGCCGCGGCCCCGGTGACACCGATCCAAGTTTGTGCAGCTCCGGAAGGCCTTCAATATCTATATATGTGCTCAGCCTGACGCCGCGCGTGGCGTGGCTATGTTCTTTCCTCGGGTCGCATCAAGTTCGTTTGTTAAAGCTGTGTGGGATCCTTTTCAACAGCAGTGTGCCACGTTGCTTCGAGTCACAGCAGTTACTTTGCACGCTCCAGATGAGACCATGGCGATGGTACTATATATCATGTGTTATCGAGTGAAGAAAAGGATCGTGTTTGACAACTCCTGTGTTACTGGGCTCCTGCGCGCTCTTGGCGAGAAGCTTGGCTGTGATGAAAGGTGAAACTGATGGGGTCCACGGCACCAGCGAGATGAGCATTAGCGGAGGCTGGAAAATATTTATTTTCGAGAAACCCGTCGATTCCGCAGACAACATAGGTCTAGGCTGAATTATCGTGGAGCAATGCTCACAGCAAACAGATATATTCGAAAACCAGAGCAGCAGCATAACAGCCACTGCTGTGTGGCGCTTGAGGCTGAGCTCAACCCATTGGGTCATGTGGTCCGACAATGAATGGCATGCTTTTGGACACGTTTTGACACATGTGTAGTTTGCCGGTACACGCGACAACACCGGGAACTGGTGGCTCAGCCTCGTCACGTCTATAGCTTTCCTACTCTGAAGGGGGTGTAAACAACAACAAGGCAGCCTGCGGTTGTGCGGGTTACGGCTGATCCAACACCCAACCTCGCTTTTGGTGCTGAATTTGCGATTTGTGTGGTACCGTTTTTTTCTTTTTGGCACTAGAGTTCTCCGACAACGGTTGGCCGGCATCCCGCGTCCGCGACTCTTTCATCTCGTTCTTCACGGAAAAGCATGACCACACCTTCTGGAAGTCTAGTCCGGTTGTTCCTCACGACGACCCCACGCTCCTGTTCGCCAATGCCGGCATGAATCAGGTATATCAACAACGTCAACGGCATCGTACGTTGATAGGCTACTCTGTAACAAAGCTGCGTGGTACCCTGATCTAGAAGTTGGGCACACATCCTGGCGGTACGCTTGGATTAGAGTTAGCACCAAGGTTCGACGATGACTCGGCAGCAGTCCGGTATCTAGAATGTGATGCCGTCCGTGACTCCTACCGGAGACAAACGCGATCACAACGCTACCTCTCTTTTTGATGCGAACGATCCCCCCAAGTTTTGATATCCCCGATATTGCACGTTTGCCTTGACGCGCCTTTTGGCATGACTGACTCTACAGTTCAAGCCGCTCTTCTTGGGAACTGCAGACCCAGCTCTGCCTTTGTCAAAGCTGACCAGGGCCACTAACTCCCAGAAGTGCATCCGTGCGGGTGGCAAGCACAACGACCTCGACGACGTGGGGAAGGACCTCTACCACCACACTTTCTTCGAGATGCTCGGAAACTGGTAAGCTGCTTCATTTTTGTTTCAATAGATCTCAACCTACGTTCGTGTTTGAGAATAAATAATAGCAGGATCAGGCATCCCGTTCGCTTTTCCAGAGCTGTGTGTACGGCGCTCCGTGACGTAGATCCCTCGCTTTAATCAATAGTTGGACGTCACGGTGTTGGTTGGATGTCGTGCCTGATGTAGTCACAGTGTGAAACTCGGACGTATTAGTGCTTACTGTGTGCCAGTGATTGCATGTCGTGCTACGAACATCTTATCTTTTGGGCGTTGTGGAGCTGTCATGCAAATCGAGTAGAACGGTCCAACCTGTTAGTGTCGACGATACCGTACATCACCAAAAAACGAACATCTATTCTTGTGTGTGTGCTCCTCTTTGTCCGTCAGGTCGTTCGGAAGCTACTTCAAGGAAGAGGCCATCGGGTATGCATGGGAATGTCTGACCACGGTGAGTGTCACACCCTGGATCCCGACGTATCTAGTGGTGTAACAGCGGGTTGCAGTGGACACCTCGACGCGAAGTATCCCAGCGGCTTAACGGTTGTAATAATCAATTGATGCTGTTCCCCCGCGTGTGTATCGCCTATAATGCACTCCACGTATCGTGGTGGACTTGGCACCTTAGCGCCGAGTGCCTGTATGTTTGGTCGCAGAGGGTTGAACTTTTTTTCTCCACAGTAGTGGTACACCCGTGCTCATGTTCTCTTTTGCTGCGGTAGGGAGCACGATGAATTTCCTTCGGCATTCTGGGAGTAGCCTGCATTCATGCTGCCCTTTCTTTTCACTCGGCAGCTGTGCAATAGGATTTCCCACCGCTAGTGTGCGTTACGTTCCAGGCTGTTCCACACAGACCAACCAAGCTATGAATAGCAGGGCGCGAAATTCGCACGGCAGCAGTGCAATGGGGGTGGTGGCCTGATGGTGCTTTGTAATTCCCTAACTCTCCCGTCTTGTCTTGAAATGGTCTCGTTTGGTGTTTCGATGAATAGGTGTATAAACTCGATCCTTCTCGGCTGTACGCCACGTACTTCGGTGGAGACGAGAAGCTGAGAGTCGGAGCTGATGAGGACGCCAAGAAGATTTGGCTCAAGTGAGGAAATGACGGTGTAACGGGCACAGCAGCGCCAGTGTGCTTGGCAAGTTGCCACCGTTCTCGGCGGGTCGAAGGTCACTATTGTTGCCTACTTGATACGCGAGGTGCAACGCACGTTAGGCTATTCACTTTGTGCTGTTCACGAGGAGGGGTGTGATTCGTGAGAGAGGCTGCAGCGTAGCGTTAGACGCTCCCCATGAGTGCGGCAAGATTGATGACAACCTCTCGGGACAAGGCTAGACACCATCAACAGATTTCAACGTCAATTGCGTGCGCGCGGTAAATCAAGGCAGAAACCGCAGGTTTTAATTTATTGGGGGTTGTGAAAAAATGTTACCAGTCTCCTTTCAGTATTTTTGTTTTTCGTCATTGATGTGATGTAGACGCTATGAGTTGACACCGCTCTTGTGCACAGACTACTCCTGTCCTGACCTGTATCTGGCACTCAATTCGTGTGAAATTGCTCTGCCCGCGACATCACCTCACCATTCGGTTCCCCACCCCTTACGATCCCTTACCGGGTCGATCGTGTCTCATAGGTACCTCCCCGAGAGCCGAGTCCTGCCGTTCAGTCTGGCTGACAACTTCTGGGAGATGGGCGACGTTGGTCCGTGCGGGCCGTGTGTGGAGATCCACTATGACCGAATCGGCGGCCGCGATGCCGCGAAGGATGTTAACATGGACAAACCCGAAGTTATTGAGGTATCACCTACGCTCCTACATAGGTCGCCGTGTGTTTGGTTGAAGGTTGTGTTTGCGTTCCAAACCACGGCAGTCTCTGTTGGTTGATTGACGAAATGAAACCAAATGAAACGATTTTTGCACGTGCGAACCATGATCTAAATTGTGAGGCCGCAGCTCCCACAGAATATTGTGTGCCCACGGCTCGGCGCACGGTATGTTGTCAGCAGATTCTGTGCTGGAAAACACGAACAATGCTACACGCGAGACGCTGCACTCCGAAACTACAGCAGACGCAACACTGGTATGCAGTGTTACCGCTAAAAGCTGCTGCGCTTGCTTTAATGTCCCGTTTCAACGTGAAGCCAAACACAAGGCTCTACAATTTCCGGCGGCTTGTTTGTTGAATGTTATCTGCGTGCAGATCTGGAACGTGGTGTTCATCCAGTACAACCGTGAGAACGATGGTAGCCTCAAGGAACTCCCCAACAAGCACATCGACACCGGCCTGGGTTTCGAGCGCCTTGCCTCCATCCTGCAGGCAAGCACGCCCACGCGCTACAGTATCACAACGGTCAAATAGTTGAGAGATTCACGAAGTGCGAGAGAGACCTTGGTAGAAAACCATTGTTGGAGCTGGAAGTTATGTTGATCGCCTTGTACCCTTGTCGCTGACATTTTTTTGCGGTAGCGTTGGCTGTTTCAAAGGCTCCCTATAGAGTGTCGTACTTCGGAACACAATATTTCTCTGTAGGCGTAACCATGATACATCTAGGTGGCCGTACGCATCCCTGGTGGGTGGTGAAGGCTGTTTCATACCCTTGTACGAAATACCAGTAGAACCGTTCTGCGATTAACGCCCTCTCTTCGGGATGCCTGCTGCACAATTTTGCACCATGTTTCTGTTTGGAACCAAAGCATGGTAGCCCCTGGCGTGCGATGCCTGCAAGCGAACGTCCTGAGCGTCCCAACCCCAACAACCCCTTACCTGTTTTTTTTTTTTTTCTCGGGTCGCTTTCCTCGCAGGGCAAGATGTCCAACTACGACACGGATGTATTCGTGCCTATTTTCGAAGCCATTCGCTCCGCCACTGGAGCTCGGCCCTACACCGGAAAGGTACGGACGCTACGCTCGTATAACAGTCACCTAGGCTGGTATACATATTATAGTTTCTCTTCGACCAGGCATGTGTTCTTGTGTATTGTAATATTTGACCGGCGTTGCACTCGTTGTGTGTCTGCCTCTTGTAGAAATGACCATCGCGTTCTACCGACGATGTAGTCCAGGCCTTCGTAGCAAACCCGGGGGCTGGGCGATATTCCCAGTACTATTCACACCTACTTCAACCTCAAGACCGCTCGCGCTGAACTCGTTCATCCCGTTTTGTTGGCTTTGTACGTTATCGAGGCACGGCACTGCACGTCAAGATGAGATTACGAAGAATCACACATGCGTCCCCGCTTACCTTGCCAACGAATGTTTTTCGGAGCTTACACGTGTGTAGTTCGTTTTCTCATCCAGTGAGGCGCGCCTCCTGCCTGGACCAGAAGCAGCGGTCTTGTCTCCTTCAAACTCCCCCCATCCTTGTGTCTGCCCCTGCTACATGTTCATGCTCGTATTTTTTTGTTCCATGTGTGGTGCTGCCGCCCTTTGTACTTTTTTGACAGGTTGGCGAGGAGGACAGTGACAACATGGACATGGCCTACAGGGTAGTGGCTGACCACATCCGCACCCTCACGATAGCCATCACGGACGGGTGCACCCCTTCCAACGACGGTCGCGGTTACGTCTTGCGTCGCGTGTTGAGGAGGGCCATTAGGTACGGACAACAGGTCCTCGGTGGCAAGCCTGGCTTCTTCCACACTCTTGTGCCCGTGGTGAGTGGGTCCACGGCGTCACGGGGTAAAATTGGGGAAAGTATTTGGTCGCAGCGCCGCTATGCTGTATCAAGGGGCATCTTCTCCTTGACGGCGGAGATGGGGACAATGCTTGCGGTAGCTGTTTAGTCATGCAGTACAGTAGTGGTTGGGCCAAGAGACTTGGCCTGCCTCGCACGGGTGACATAAACCCGGCACTACTCAAGAGTTTTGGGACACCTTGAACATTCCATCTGTGTCGTGCGATTTCACTGGCCTCACAGAAGACGACCGGCCTTCGTACTTCAGCCTTTTGCAGGGATCAACCACTACATAGTGCTGTATTTGCTTGTTGGTGGCTTCTCCTCTGCACGATGTGACCAACTCCGTTTGTTGCAGATTTTTTGCCGTAAGAACTCTTGTTGTTTAAACCCGATGCTGTTGTCAATACCTTGCGGACCATGCGCTTCCACTTGTTGATGCGGTTTTGAAGGTGGTGGGACTGATGAAGGGGATATTCCCGGAGCTTGTCGACGCAGAGGCGCGAGTGACAGCCGTGATCAAGGACGAGGAGATGTCCTTCAACAAGACTCTCGACAAGGGACTCAAGGAATTCAACAAGGTCGCGGCCGCCCTTGGCGACAGCAAGTGAGTGCCCTCAGTCAGCCAAACCCACAAGCGTTCTGATCATCCATGATCGTGCACTTTGTCTTGGTTCTTACGAGCGTTGCGTCCGCACATCGTGCTAAATAGTAGCTGTGTGAGGGTTTTGTAGACCGCTCGACGATCGCCCCAGCTTCTCCTCGCTGCTTGTACACGTGCATCATGTGCAGGGTTTTCCCTGGTACGGCCGCGTTCCAGCTGTACTCGTCTATGGGCTTCCCACTCGACCTGCTGACGCTGATGGCAGAGGAGAAGGTGAAGTTACATTACGCCGTCACCGACGGTAGAGAATTTGTCGGCAAGTAGCGGGGTTGAGAGTGCCCGGTTATTAGTAGAGCTGTTTTTCGCAGGCAACGCTTTGCCGTTGGCGTGAACGTGACTTCTGCTGGACTGCGGAACAAGGGCTGGGGTGTGAAATTCTATACATGCGATAAGCAACACGAGCGTTGAGACTGTGCATGTGCACTGGTGGGCAGGCTTGTTTTGTTTTTTTTTCACACAGTGCGATTTAAATTCACGTGGTCTCACGGTTGTTGAGCGCTTTGGATGTGTTCCAAACCTAGTGCAGGCTGCATCGATATGTTGTCACCGATATTTCCCGCAGCTTGACGTTTGCTCGCTTTACTGTTCTGCCAACGTCGTACCGGGTTCGTTACTTGGAGTGCGGACAGTTTCATGCTGTGGCTCAAAGCAACCAGTAGCAGGCGTTTGTTTGATACCCCTCAGCTGCTGCACGATCGATAAGCAAATTCGTTTCGTAGTTCCAAGTGTGTTGTGCCTGTGTCCGGGGCGGCAGGGTCTGACCGCGGCGTTTCTTCCGACTTGCATGCCGACTCCAATAACTCCTGCCCCTTCGCTTGCCAGGGTCTGAGCGTAGACGTTGAGGGTTTCGACCAGAAGATGTCCGACGAAAAGACGAAGAGCAACCAAGCCAGAAGCAACCAAAAGGCCGCCGGAGGCAAGCCTATGATATTGGAAGCTGAACAGGTGAGATTCAGACACCACCGTACCAAGCTGTGTTGTGCATGGATCATGTTGGCCGTGCACCACGGGTGTCCTCCGAACATGACATTGCTAACACATGAAGATTGCAAAGCGAATTTCAATTTGGATGCTTGATGGATGCATTTGCAAGAACCAGCACCAGGCAGCACTACCCAAAGGGATTGGAGCGCTTCCTCATGGGCGCATTCCATTACTTGCCTTTCTTTACCATGGTTTTCCATGCTGGTTGCTTGGTTTGTAGATGGACTGGCTCTCGAAGCGAGACACGGAGGCCACGGAAGCGTCTGGACGGTACACCTGGCACCAGCAGCCCGCAGCGAAGGCGAGTTTCGTATCATCCATTCGTACATGAGTGGGCCCGCGCTTGGGTGGCTGTGCCTCATTGTCTATCATAAGCCAGTTGTAGTTTCTGCTTTGTGTGTCGCCCGATTCACCACAGGCTGTTGATCAGTAAGCTAGCTGGCCGGTGCCCTGGCCTCCATCGAGTGCTCCCAATCCGCTTTGATCCACACTCTCTCGATGTACGCTCGAATCCTCCAGGCTGTATTGCCACGCCGAAAAATACAACACGTCCTCACCCCCACGCTGCCGTGAGTGTTCCTTCTCATGGATTTCGCGGCCCTCTCGCTGCGTGCGTGCGGCAAACACAGAACCGTTCCTTACGCGACAATGTTGGCCGTGTGATGTGTCCTGTGCCGGATTAGGTGCTTGCCCTGTTCGTCGGGAAGGGAGAGGGAGAAGACGGCGTAGGGTTTGTGCCTTCCGCGTCCGCCGTCGCCGACGAGGCAGACCAGCAGACGGTCGGGGTGGTGCTTGACTGCACCAGCTTTTACGCCGAGGGGGGCGGGCAGGTACGAAAGCGATGGCTACAGTATAGCGTCTTGCAAGGGAAGTATGTCCACTAGGTTGGGTTTATGCTTTCCGCGAGGCACGTTGGTGTAGAAGCAGGCAGGCCTGCGCAACTGCACAAGCTTAACGTGATATCGAGTTGACAAAGGATCGTGATAGTTGGTTAGGAAACAGGAATTTGCATTGTGAGCAAACGTCACGGTGTTGCCACTTGTTGTGTTGACACGCTCAGATCTACGACATCGGCGAGCTGTCACTGTCGGATGGGTCTGGCTCGTTCGCCGTCCGCCAGGTTTCTAGCTTCGGCGCCTACACTCTGCACATCGGGCAGGTACTTGAGTCGGGGGTGGAAATGGTGTTTCGACCGGGCAAAGCAACACACCGTGAGACAACCAAACGAAACTGTCTGATCTGCACATGGTCCGATGAAGAGTGCAGCATTTCTCGCAGAGATGGTGTTTGTGGTCAAAGCCGTTCGTCTCTACCTTGTTATGCATATCATGCCTAGCGTATGTGTGTCCTCCTTGGCGTCGGTTCGAGTTGGGATAAGAAGTGATATCGTTGCCAGCTATTGCCAACAGCACTACGGAGCTGGTGAACTGAGTGTAGCGAGCGGCCGGCACAAGTCCAAGACGTGCGGGTAAATGAGTAGCCATTCGAAACAGCACTCTTTCATGTAGCCAAATGTACCTTACGGAGCAACAGGAGAACAGTCGCTTGATGATCACTATCTGTTGGTGAAAATGGTCTTTCTGTTTTTCATCGTTCACACAGCAGCATGCCATCCGCAGGGCAGCCGCTTCCGTGATGAACGGTGGAACACCTTTGTGCATCGTCCATGCTGCCGCCTCTATGTTGTAGCTATCTGTTTCGTGTGAAAGTCCCTGTCTCTGATGTGAATTTATGCCGTGCCGTGTGGTGCAGGTCAAGGCCGGCACACTGTCAGTGGGGAGCGACGTGGTGTGCAAGGTAGACTACGAGAGGCGGGCCAATGTGGCTCCGAACCACACCATGACGCACGTCCTCAACTTCGCCCTCAGAAAGGTAGGTAGAGTCTGAAAGAACGGTACAGCCGGCTGTCGCGGTACATCCAACCCAAAAGTATTAAATCCGTATACATACCAGCAGGCCGTTTTGAGAGATTTGACGACCATGGCTCCATCTTTTGCACTGACGATTGTACCGCGTATGCTATCTACGTACGCTCTGCATCGTTCATTTGTCACACTGCATTCTCCACTTTCCTACTGCTTGCTGTGGAGTCTTTCCTGTCGATTGATGCTCGGCAGATATTTTACGTACACGTGCACAGTCTTGTGGTGGGGTCATTTGACTGCTGCTTGACGTAGGGACGACATGCACTCACTATCACTACTTTCTGTAGCTCTACATGAAGTACACGACTAACTGCGGCCTCCACCAACCTCTGGCGATTCAAAGCGCTCGCTCTCGCTCTCGCTCCGTGGTGAGAAGCGTCGACAACTTTTGACGCCGTTGATTTTTCAGGCACCAGTCCTTCTGTGCTCAATATCCACAAGTGGTGTGCAGCGCTGTTGTCGTTTGTGCCAATCAGTGTAAGATGTTGTTGGAGACGAAATGTCACGTCGCCCCCCCCCCCCCCCCCCCC